CATGAAGTTTAAAAGTGAGACAGTCATCAAGCCAGATACCCAAGTATTTGTAACAGGTAACCACTTCAAGTTGTATTCCTTGCGTAGTTACAATATCCAAAGTAGTCTCTGGTGTATTTTTAGCTTTAGCTTTCGAAAAGTGCATTACCTTGGTTTTATCCACATTTAAAAGAAGCTTAAGCTCAGAGAGCTGAGCCTGAATAATGTTAAAATTATTTGCATTATCCTTGCATTCCTCCAGAGACCAGTTTGGACTTAAAGTTAAGAACCAGGCTGGGGGGGTCTCCAGGCATCAGATATATCCGAGACATAGTGCACTTAGAGAGGGTACTTTCATCCAGGGTATCAGACAGCCGTTTTTGTTTATTGTGTGGTGGACTGGCTGTCAGCACATCATAAAGTATTATTAGAAACAGTGTCAGCTAGAAAATGGTCTATCAATCCTTTCCGTGTCCGGGCTGGGTGAGGTTGCCCGTATTGAGTCAAATGAAGCCGCAGGCTCCACTCCTGGTGGTGCGCTTCCATCAATTCCCCCACGCAGCACACCCTCCCAGCCATCAGAGTCGAACCCGCAGTTCGGAGGAACCGACCGCCAGAGCACCGGCACGAGGCCGGCGGAGGCCCTCCGATGGCGGGTCGCGTTTGTCATTCGATCAGTGAGAAATCAGGAAAAAACTGTTATATTTTGGGAAAACCAGAGAAAAGGGGTGAAAATGGAGAAATTGTATCCCAAAATAGTGTCTCTTAAGGCGGGTAGAGTCCCCTGACAACTCTCCTTACATTCCTCCAGTCAGAAAAACTCTAAGTTATCTTTTGGGAGAACCAGAGGAAAGGGGTGAAAATGGAGAAATTGTATCCCAAAATAGTGTCTCATAATTCCCTGACAACTCCCCTTGCATTCATCCAGAGACCAGTTCAAAAACTTAAAGTTTGGTAAGAACCATGATTGGGGGTCCTCCAGGCAACAATTGTATCCGAGCCAAAGCACTCATGTAGCGGACACATTCCTCCATGATGTGAAACAGCCCTTTTTTTTCTAAGTGCTCTCAAAATCCGGGTTTCCGATTTCGTGCAGATGGTAGCTTGGAAAAGATGAATGAATTTTTTTGACGGAGGAAGGGAGGTCTCGATTCCCCTCTCCGTTGTAAAGTGCAACGGGGGAGTGAAAAAGTGTCCGGGGCTTCCGCCCGAAGCGCCGAAGACTTGCGCTTTTTGGAGCCCCTCCTCCGTTGGCACTCTGTCGTTTTTTCGAGAATTTCGAAAATCATGAAATAGACCGGGAAAGTCACCTATTTGTAGCCCCTCACAGAGCCCCAAATGACGGACTAAGCAGCTCCAGCATCTCTCCCTGACATGTGCAAACAGGCTCTGTCAGACTTCCATGAAATAGACCGGGAAAATCACCCATTTGTAGCCCCTCACAGAGCCCCAAACGACGGACTAAGCAGCTCCAGCATATCTCCCTAACATGCTCCCTTCCATAACATCGCACACCGTGAGACCCCGGGCCCCCGGACTTAAGCACTCCCCCACGGACTAAACCCAGATGTTCACACCCTACAGAATCTCATGCCCCTGGTTGTCTTAAAGGGGGGGTGGATTTTGTGGTGCTTTACCGTCCGCCCACCAGCATCCATATTCGGCCTTATTCACAGCACCACGCATCTCTCCCTGACATGTGCAAACAGGCTATGTCAGACTTCCATGAAATACACCGGGAAAAGCACCCATTTGTAGCCCCTCACAGAGCCCCAAACCACGGACTGTAAGCAGGGTCTCACACTCAAAGGCACCTAGGCAGTAGTGCTGGGGGGAAACGATTATTTTGAAAACGATTAATCGGGCGATTATTTGATCGATTAGTCGACTAATCTAACGATTATTTTTCTGTTGTTCAATTCATAAAAAACGTAATGTAAAAAAAACGTAATTTAAAAAAAAACATGTTTCACGATACTGTGTCTCAGGGGATTTTAATATTTAAGAACCTATTAATGTGTTATACCAGATTAACGGAAATAATCTCAGCTAATTGACGATACAAACCATGTTTACCAAAACAAAACACAAGTCTCATAAGAAGCATCTAAATGACCCCTGAGCGAAAAATGCTAACGGACATTGGCACAGAACTCAAGATAAAAGTACCCTTATTACTTATCGTAGCTGCACATACAATATATCCGATTAAAGCTGAGACTCCACAGATTATGTAGGTATATAGTATCATCACTGAGTGATCCGGACTCGCGACAGGGGAAGCAAATACAGTCATCACAACACGTACCTTCACAGAGCTTCTAGGGAGATCGTCTCACCGTAGCTGTCAATCTGATCAAAAGACGTGTTCAATGGCATTAAAATGAGAAAAAACGCGGCTGAATCGGTTAATCCATAGGTTTTTAACGTCTATGTATAAAAAAATGATTGAATTTATAATCCATAATTCCATTTTATGTAAAAAATCGGAGAGCAAATGCTAGCTGCTAACGGTAGCCACCACAGCTAGCTGCTGCTTCTGCTAGGCTATGCAGCAGTCTCAGTGAGATATAAATATATAAATATCTTTGCGTTTTGGACTAACTTTAAAATATTCCCATGCTTTTGAAGACCTAGGGCGAGATGTTTTCGTTTGGGGGCTTCGTGCGCAATCCTGTGAGGAGGAGGTGGTAGCCGTTTCAGTCTCCATTGTGTTTGAAGTGCGATTGCGAACTGCTTGTTGCTTTGGGTGACCCACGTGTGTGTAGCGACGCGTCGACGCGGAAATATGTCGTCGACGATATTTTGAAGTCGTCGACGCGTCGCTACAGCACTACTAGGCAGAGATCCAGGGTGATGCACATGGCTTTCTTACCCAGGAATAAGTGTGTGAAAGCTGGGTAAAAGTGCTGTGAATACAGGGAGAGAGCAGCCAGAGAGAAGCTGCCTGTGAGAGCCCCAGAGCACACCCAGAGATCTCCTTGCAGTGCATGGCTCTTGCACCCAGACTGCACCCAGAGAACAGGCTGCTTCACAGCACTTTGCAAGCCATGAAAAGTGATTGAATCCTGGGTATACATGTTTTAAATAGTCTGATACCTCCAGGGCACATCACCACATTTTACAAGCCAGGGAAGGTGCCTGAATCCTGGGTAAACATTGTTTAATTGTTTAAGTGTTTTTAAATGTGTGAAAACAGTGTTTTGTCACTTTCAAAACTCTCCCGTCACTGACCGGAGAAATTGGGTCGATGTTGTATTCAATCTTACCGTTAATATTTCAGTGAGACGAAGTACGTACAATGACCGGAGTGATCCCATGTTAATTTTGTCCCAATACCGGAGCATTCCCTAACCACTAGAAGCTCCACACGTGGCGACCTATCAGTCCCATTCAGGAAGAGTACTTTTGGTGAGTCATCATTCTCGGTCACAGCAATACAAAACTGGAACTCTACTCACTCGAATCAAAGACATACATACATACACATACCACCTTCACAGCTCACTTAAAAACATGGTTCACTGAGAACTACACCTGAACACACTAGTCTGTGTTGAATATGGCATGTCAGGGCTGGACATTATAAATGGCCCCCTGGCCCGGAAGCACTATTTAGACACCTCGGGCCAGCATAATGTACTTTCCACTTGCCCGCTCGGGCCATTAAAAATATTGCTTTATAAAAAACAAAAACAAAACAGTAAGACATACAATCACATTGTCTTGTGGTATAGGTATTTTGACAACCAATTTTGTTAAATTGTTTAGTTCATTAACGCTACAACATAGCGTTTCGTGAGGCAGTTGTCATTGTTGGATGTTGCAATAGCAGGCTCCCGGTGCGCGCCGGGACGCGCCGCGAGCAGGCTCCCGGTGCGCGCCGCGAGCAGGCTCCCGGTGCGCGCCGCGAGCAGGCTCCCGGTGCGCGCCGCGAGCAGGCTCCCGGTGCGCGCCGCGAGCAGGCTCCCGGTGCGCGCCGCGAGCAGGCTCCCGGTGCGCGCCGCGAGCAGGCTCCCGGTGCGCGCCGCGAGCAGGCTCCCGGTGCGCGCCGGGACGCGCCGCGAGCAGGCTCCCGGTGCGCGCCGGGACGCGCCGCGAGCAGGCTCCCGGTGCGCGCCGGGACGCGCCGCGAGCAGGCTCCCGGTGCGCGCCGGGACGCGCCGCGAGCAGGCTCCCGGTGCGCGCCGGGACGCGCCGCGAGCAGGCTCCCGGTGCGCGCCGGGACGCGCCGCGAGCAGGCTCCCGGTGCGCGCCGGGACGCGCCGCGAGCAGGCTCCCGGTGCATTTATACATTTATTTATTTATGTATTTATTTATTCATACATTTATTTCCTCATTTATTTATTCCTGTAGCCTATTTATTTATTCATACATTTATTTAAACATTTATTTATTCCTATATTTATTCATACATTTATTTATTCCTGTATTTATTCATACATTTATTTATGTATACTTTATGTCATGTTCTGTCCTCCATACCGTCCTCCATATTGCTAAACCAGAAAACCGTGAATGCACCGGTAACTCTTTATAACACCTGTGTAGAAAAATGTAATAATATTACAAAGATAACATAAATGTTTCCTCCCCGTCGGGGAATTGAACCCCGGTCTCCCGCGTGACAGGCGGGGATACTGACCACTATACTAACGAGGAAGGGATGAGATCCACTCAGTGCAGTTCCCATTTTATACAATGCGGCGCTGTATCATTAGTTATATAATAAAATGCATTCATCTGAATGTGTTCTCATTTCATCCCGTCACGCATAAAAGAATGTGTTGCATTGGCCGGGAATCGAACCCGGGCCTCCCGCGTGGCAGGCGAGAATTCTACCACTGAACCACCAATGCATAAAAAGTTTCAAAATAAAAGCCTTTAAAAATGAAACCATGAAGACAGCTTGAGATCTGAAAAAAATTCCTTGGGAAGGTTGATGAAATAAAAGAAAAATAAAGAGCAGACAATTCTACTCTTACATGCACCAACAGCCTGATTATAGAAAAAAGTTTAACCTTGGTCTGGTGAAGTTTCCTCTCGCACAAATTTCTTCTTGGAGAGTGGAGTAACGGGGAGAGGGGTTGGCACAACCTGGCACAAGAAAAACAAACAAAATAAACAAATATTTGATTGATATCCCATATTTAAGATACTGCATACATTCCTGTTGTCGCCCTCTAGTGGTTGCAGATGTAATTTATTACAGAAATAGAAACAGGCTTCATCAAGAAAAATTGCAAATTAGGCAAAAACATCAACCACACAAAATTGAAAAACCTATTAAACTAAAGAAATGCTAAATCATGGGTTGGCTAAGTAGCTGTTGCATGAGGCCAATTTAGACTAAAAAACGGCTGAGACTCATCGAAATATTGCAAATGAACACATAATGTGTTTTACAGGTAAATAATTATTAGTAACATCGTTTTCCATCCTCAAGGCAAAACAAATAAATATTGCACATAGACAGCCACCCCGTTAATTCTCCAGCAGGTGCCACGTGTCTGAGTGAGTTGGCTGGCCCACTTTAGAGTAAAAAACATCGTGAATACTTTAAAATGTTCAACATGCGATGCAATATAGTAAGATCAGGGTAAAACCATTTGAACAAATTATCAAATCTAAAAAACACCTTTGAATGATGAACAAATTGAAGACACGCAGAATTACGTCAATGGGTCGGCTAATTAGCTGCTGCGTAGTACCAACTACCACCAAAAAACATCTAATACTCGACGAAATCTTAACAATTAACTTAGAATTATAACAGGAAATGTCTTTAAAAGGTTAATAAGCTGACAGTTTCCTCAGTGCAAAACAACCCAAATGAAGCGTAAATGGAGAGCCTGTTAATTGTCGACCAGGTCCAGCACTGCAGGCGGCACGATGTGTGAGCGACGTAGCTGCCTGGCACTTTTTCCACTTCAAAAACATCGTGCAGATAACTAAAAACTAGCAACAGGTGATTCAATACTATCATATGATGAGGCAAAAACTATTATTTCTGTTAAACACATTACACTGCCACAAAAATAATGAATTATGAACAAAATGGAGGAAGGCTGAAACACGGCATTGGGTCCGCTAACTAGTTGTGGTGTCATACGAATTAACACCCAAACACGTTTAAAACTCGACGAAATCTTAAAATTATACTTAGAATTACGACAGAAACATGACGTGCATATAACTAATAACTAGCAACAGGTGATTCAATACAGTCATATGAGGCAAAAGCTATTTTTTGTGTTAAACACATAAACCAACTTAAAAAAAAAACACTTGAATTATTTACAACCTGGATGAAGGCAGAAATACGGCAGGCTAATTAGCTGTGGCGTCATACCAATTTACAGCAAAATACGTTTAAAACTCGACGAAATCTTAACAAGGAACTTAATATTATTACAGAAAAGGCATTTAGCAGGTAAATAACAAGTACTTACATAGTTTCCTCAATGCAAACAACCAAGAAAAAAGCACATGAGAGCTGTCCTGTTAATTATCCACCATTACTGCAGGTATCAACCATGGATGTATGGTATCAACGAGTGTCTGAGTGAAGGAGCATGCTTTCCGTTTCACTTCTGTTTTAGTCCACTAGATGGCACTGCTGTGCTTTGAAATACTTTTCTAACTACTCTAGTACATAATGAACATGTACTTGGCAACATTTTAATGTACCAATCAATATGAGGGTGAAGAAAAACACATATAACCAACACTGACTGATTCCTCAAATATGAACGTTTGCAGTTTCTCTAGAAGTTCTTTGAGTTTTTCAATGTTAGTCAACAAAACAAGGCATGAATTTGCAACCTCGAACTTTGGGAAAGTGCAGTGGACCCAAATAAAAAGGCAAATGAAGGTTACAATGAACAACAAAAGTGTCACCAAAATCTAGAAATACATTTAAGAAATGTATGTCCTGTTTAATATCAACTTTCATAAATCTATTTAGGCCTTTAATTATTTCTGAATAGTGAAATAATTATTTTTATTTATAATTATATGTATGTATGATTACATGTATTTCCATATGTGTTTATTCTTGTATTTATGCAATGATACTTAAGTATTTCTTCTTCCCCCATACCCGCCATCAAAGTCTCAACTAAATGTATTTAACTGGGGTTACAGTGTCAATTTTACTACCAATGAACAATGCCTTGTGTAAAGTGGCCCCTCAGCAGCATCCCCAGTGGACTGTTGTACATGGCACTGACTGAACTGTTTGTTGGTAGGTATACTGACTGATATGTGTGTAAATGTGTACCTCTGCAGGCTCAGCATCCATCACAACAACAGTGGGTACACTGAAGAGTTCCATGTTGTCCAGGTAGTGCTGATGTTGTAGGCGCCAGTTCAGACAGTCATAGATGAGATTGGCCACACCTTCAAAGATTTGGTTTCCAATCTCCAGCTGGACACACAGTCAAAAAAAAAGAAAATGTGATTATAAAACATTAAAAGCTAGAGACAGTACACAAAAAAAAGACAGATAGAGAAGGCCTTGAAATGATCAAAAAAAGAATAGTGTTAAATATTCTACACAATGAAATCAACAAAAAATAATGAGGGATCGATTTCAAACCTTCTATATCTTGTAGGACCATAAATGACATGCCCACACTCACAATCCACACACAGACCTTTTACAGCATACAGTGCAATGGTAAAGAGCAGGCTTCATTGAGAATATATTGAAACAGAAAGAAATTGTCAGGCCCAACTCACCTCAGCGTCAGGGTTCTGTGTGTGAGAACAGAGATCTGGAGCAATGTAGCTAAGTTGAACCACATCATGGAGCTTGGACTGGGGAGGCCCGCTGTCCAAAACTGGTCTCAGACCGGACCAGAATAAATCCAACTCTGCACGACCATGAACTTCTGCTGCAGGCATACACGAAAGAAGAGATATTTATGTTGATAACAACACATAATACATTGGAAAAATAAGATATAGAGTCCTGACTGCAAGGACATTTTGTATTGCAGATACTCAGCTCTATGGCGAACAAAAGTTATTTTACATACACATTCTGTTCAGCAAGATAATGATCATCCTTAATTTTATGATTAAGTCAAATGATTTGCCAGAAGTAAAAAACTAACATTATAGCTTGTAAACAAAACAGAAGCATGATTCATTTATAGTCTTATATACTTGTAAAAGCACGTAAAAGTGCCTTATTAAGTGCTTACTGAATACCGAAGGCCCTTTACCTGAATCCAAAACTGGAGAAGTTGTCTGCTCATTGCCCCCAAAGGGACTTACTTCCTGCTGCTCCTCAGAAGTTTGTGTGTGCTCCGAACACAATTTAATGACATTGGCTACATGAACACCTAAGGCATCAAGTGCTCCAATCAGGTGGGGCTGAAAGAAGCCGAGCAGCAGGATGTAGTGTTGAGGTCCATCCTCTGGCTCGTCATCTATGCCCAGACACACAAGTTAATTCATCATAAACACCTACAATTATATACTGCAGACGTAGCCAAAGTCGTCTTGTGCATTGCAGTATTTTCTCACAATGTTAGCACAGACGTTCAAGGTTCAAAGCTTTTATTAGTCATACGTACATAGCTACAGTCAAGGGTGTAACTTTGGTTTGAGAAGTGGGGGGGGACACAAAACAGGGGGTCCTCCGCAATGAAACATTGTTCTCGATTTAATTCCATTTCCTGCCTTTCTACAAATATATTAGGGACTATGGTGTTAACTAATCCAAGAAAAATGTGTAGTGTAAGGAGTGCGCACACTTATCTAGTATCCTCTCCATGTGAGCCTGTTTTATTTGTGATGACCTCACATCCTCTAGGGGGGGGGGCTTCTAATCTCCGTTAGCTCCGAGCTAGCACCAGATGCTAACAACAACCCCCGTAACTCTCTGTCTCTCTCTCTCTGTCTCTCTCTCTAGAGGTTTCTCAATTATTAAATGTCCCCTCCTCGACTCCTATCCTCGACTCCTATCCTCGATACTTAGTCCCGCCCACAGGAGATGCGAGCGGAGGACTGAGGAGGGGAACTGAGGAGAGAGGAGGGGAAGCAGCAGGCGGTTAGAGAAATGAGAACTCCTCTCCTCTGAGCGGTCATTTTAAAGAGACGTCCATTAATGATGACAGGAGGCACAGCCCTCTGTCTGATGGACAGATGTGTTCATGATGACTTATATATAATATATATATAATAATAAACACATTTGAAAAGTGGAGGGGACATGTCCCCCCTGTCCCCACCCCAGTGGAAATTACGCCCATGGCTGCAGTGTAGTTATGACGATGAAAATCTTAGGTCCCAGGCTACTCCAACAGTGCAACACAATAAAACAGATGTGGTTGAAATTTGAATTTTTACCTATATACTTTGGTGGCTCAACATCATCCCTGCGTTTTAGCTTTGTCTTCTTCTCCTTGGAGGGTCCCACAGGTGAGGGTGGGCTCTTCCCCTTTTTGTCAGTGACTTTAGCCCCTCCTTTGTCCTTGTTGACAGAGGGAGGATCAACGTTTGCCTTCTCCTCCTCAGCCTTAAAAATATGCGGAAAAATCCAATTGATTCTTCCTCTATAGTCTGTATAACATTGATTTAAAAAAAGTCACTCCAATTGTATTAATATCTCCTGATTTTTTCCTCACCTGCTCGGCTTCCCTCCTCTGCTGATCATTGGCTTTGATTTGTAGCAGCTGGAACTTCAGTATATTTGCCATCAGGTCACAAGGAATCTCATCTCCTGCATCCAGGAGCACCTTCGCTGGCTCTGTAACCTACTCAAGACATCACGTCACAAGGAGACACACAGGAGGAATTAAGCACACAAACACCCAATCAGAAGACACTGACTGACTGAAACAAAACACATTAAAAACCTTTATTCCAAAGCCCACCTCATAAAACACGGGGGCTTCATCAGGTCGTTTTGCTTTGGGATTCCCCAGTTCATGGATCTGTAAAACGTTTGGAAAGGAATGAAATACAAGGTATTAAGAGTTAATGACTGCAGAGTTCTACAAAAATACAATAAACACAGTTTCTGGAACTTGATCTGAACTAAAACTACCTTTGCAACAGTGCTTTCCCAGGTCAACAAACTAAAAAGTTTGCGCTGTGGTTTCTGTGCAGCTACAGACAAAGCCTGGGTCAGCTTCTCCTCCTCTGGACTTCTCCCGACCACCAGAGACACACAGGCTTGCCATGACTCCTGGAAATGGTATTGAAGAAAATTAAGAAATACATAATCCAAGTAAAAAACCACACTGTGTCACTGATTTCTCATCATCCTTCTCCTTAATTAACAAGGTTCAAAGATGCTGCACAGCACATTACTTTGACAAAAAAAGCTAAATGTTGGGAGAGGATTTTTTCCCCTCCCAACTTTATTTGATTGAATTCATTCATTACATTCATAATTGGATATGTCCGTTTTTCATGAAAAAAATCCAGTGGATACATTTCATGGTTTGAAAATAATAAAAGGATCAAATAACAAGAAATATAAAAACAGAAAGGGCACTTCCGGTCTTACCCTCAAAGTAAAAGCTTACATGTTTATATTTTGTGCATTTTCTTATAGGCTACGTTCTTATTATACATCCATGGCTACGTCTTATTCAGGTGACAAATGTCGCAGGAAGTTTGTTTGTTTGTCTACACAATTTCCACCAAATAATCTAATTACCTTGTTAACGTTACTTAAAGTGTATCAAGGAGCAAATTGCAGGATATAAACCCAGTTTAAATCCCTTGTTCTACTTAAAATGAAGCGCTATTAACATTAAACAATGTAACGTAAATGTTAGCTAGCTAGCTACTAAGGACCATGTAAAAGTTAGCTAACTACCGCGCATAGCCAGTAAATTTGGACTCTAAAAGTTATAATATGTAATGAAAGATACCTTTACTGTACACACAAATAAACAGTACGTTAAACAGAAAAAAGGAAGCGAGTGAAAAGAACAAACCTCTTCAAACGGAGCTCTGCTGAGACCAGCCTCCCAGTTCTTGCCGACAGCTGAGGCACCAGAAGCATTGGGCTTTTTGGCTGAGCCCTTCTTAGCTGCTTTAGGTGGCATTTTCACTCAGTGACAATTATTCAAACTTGAAACAACGCAGAACATTAAAAAAAATAGTCCTCAACCTACCAGGGTACCTATCTAACTTAGCTTCCTAAAAACGGCAAGTTAGTTTATCGTTTAGCGTCGCCTGGTGCCTGTGTTGCCCCTGGCAACAACAAGGACACCTGTCAAGTTGAGACATAAGGCCTACTTTTCCTGTAAACTTTCAAAACAAAAGCATGTGGGTTTCCTGATTGTTTGACAAAGCAATATCGAAGATTAACAACTCTATATTTTTGGTAGTGAATATCCCTCAACAACAATTCAATAATAACATTGAAATAAATAACATGTGTTGTGGTTTATAAGTCAATTATTCATTATATCCACTGGATGGCAGTGTTATCTCTATACGTTTATTTTTTAGCTATAATGATGCACCCATTATGGCTCAGGACATTTAACTAAAGCAACGTTTTATACAAAGAGAGGGGGATTAAGAATGCTAATTAGATACAAACTAAAGTGGAATCAAATAAATACATTGTACTAAATGAATGATAATGAAGAGTGAAGTGTCATGGCTACTACAATTCCTACACAATCTCAGGCAACAATTAATTGAGCTAAAGCAGGGGTGTCAAACTCAAATACACAGTGGGCCAAAATTAAAAAATGGGTACTAGTCGATGGCCGGACTGGTTCAATGTTTATTGCAAAACTTATTGAAATGAACTTATTGCACGTAGTAAACCTAGAACTAACAAAGCTTATGATTGCCTATAAAAACAACATTAAATAATCAGTTGCATTCATTTCTTATGGCTCTATCTGCAGCTTTTTCGGAGTCATTTCTTATGATTACATTTTTCCACAGGCCAACAACAGCTTCAAAAAACAATTTCCCTCAAAGAAAAAACCAAACATGCCCTGTTGTTGTGAGAGAAAAAGTGCAGAAGGAAACATCCATTGAAACTCAGGTTGCTGCTCTGTGATGCTAGTTCAAGCCAAATACTTGGCATCTCATCTTGGGTGCAAGTTCATCAATGTTTGGGGTCAGGCTCTGAGCTGAGGAAACCCTCAGGATTGAGTGAAGGTGTGCGTGCAATATTCCGGTGGGCCAGATCTAATAGTAATTAAAAATTATCCTGCGGGCCGAAATTAAATCCACCAAGGGCCTGATTTGGCCCCGGGGCCTTGAGTTTGACACATGTGAGCTCAAGCATATAATCAAAACCTGTATTATTTTCTATTATGTCTGCCTATAAATCACTTATTGTAATGCAGAACCTTTTTGCAGTTGCCAAGTTGAACAAACTGACGGTGTATTTTATGTTTTCCTGTAATGTTGTGTTTATTGTGTGAGCCAGAAAAGTTGCTCCATTTAAATTCTTCTAATTATTAGAGCTTATTACAAAGAATATCATGCATTAAGTCATGATTTTGCCCAGATTTCCAATCAACCACCTTTGGAGCAGTTGTATAAAACTAAGAGGTCATTATTGCGATTTCACCAAGGCGACAACCTTCTTCCAGCAGCACCCAATAAAAGTTCAAAAGTTAGACGACTTCCACTTGTCAGGTGCCAGAGAAATCCACGTTTGGAGCCAGAACAGCATGAGTTATGGAGGGGTTGTCAGCTCCGAACCAGCGTCCTGCGAAGGTCACACAGCAGCCAGATAAAACACTGTAGTGACACTTAAATAAAGCTAAATCCAAACTGCTGCAAATAGCATAGCAACATCTCAAAATATCCATATGTTTTAAGAATACCCTGCTGTTAAACATCATGTGCCTGATATTTCACTGTCGTAATGGTTTATTTAGGAACTTCTTCCACTTTCTACTTAGTTACTACATGCTTTTAACTTCAGTTATTAATATATGATCAACCTAAGAGGTGCTCAACACTATTATGTAAGAGCAAAACATAGATGAGCCTATGAAATGTAAAATTAAATGAGACACCTAGTTCTTTCGAAGGCTTTGGCTGTACACAGTGTTACAATGAGGAGGATCTCAAAGTATCAATGATGACCACGTGAAGCATCTACTTTAAATCAAACTCTCACAAACATTTCATGCCGTGTGACTTTCAACTGGTCAGGATGCATTGCATAAAGTACTGCATTAAATGTTATGGTCACAAGGCTGAGAGGAAAACACACTGAAGGACCAGACTCTCAATCTGAAAGCAATGCACATATCATGCTCTAAATAATAAAGTCAAATATGATACTGTTACACTATGAAGCTTCAGTCTGAAATATCACCAAATGGCACCAAGGCTGATGTAACATTTGACATGGTAGCTGTCTTAAAATGACATATTAACAATACTTTTCAAAATGTTTTATTTTCTCAGGAGTGTTTATTTCCTGTTTCAAGGTTTTGAAATGTCAAATTTGATGGCATTTCTTTAGAAATTACATCCTCCTATCAGTCTGTGCTCAGTGCCGAGGGGTTTTAGGTTGTTACTTGGCAATGCAAAGTAGATTTCCACTTTGCGTGCTGACAGCTCCACTTCAGCAGTCTTAGAAAGATTTCAGTTTCACTACCTGGAAAGAGCAAACGGCAAGCTCAAGCATGTTTACCAAGCCGTTCATGTTAACAGTGCTCTTCCTCTCCTCACCACTCGACCACCCTCCTGAAATAGACAACAACAACAAATTACAAACATTACTAACAATATAGCATTGCAAGCAAAGAAAGATATGTGAGAAAGAAATGTGACAAACATTTAATTTATGATTTCACTTTGCTTGTATAAAAATGTGAGTGTTTTCCAGCGGGAACAGTCTCACAGGGCAACAATAAACTGTCCAAAATAACTGTCTGCTACCTGATGCCAAATGGAAATAGTGAACGAGTAAACAAGGATCTATTTCTACAACCATTTATATCCGATGTATTTTCTACATTGATAGTAGATAGATATTTAAAACTGATGGCTGGGAATATCATGCAAATTGAAATAAAAAAAGATCACGATGCAAACCCCATATATACGTAGAGGGACTCAAAGCCTGTAAACATGTGTCGGCTGTCAAAGCTGCATTTGTGTCCTCTGTAAGCAGGGGGTGTTTGTGATCACTCTGACTCTAGCAGGGAAGCATGCGTTTCACAACAAGGCTCTGCCACTGAAACCCACACTGTGCAGCTTGTGTTGACACTGAGAATTTAAAATACCTTCAGTCAAGTGCAGCTCAGATTCTTGAGTGAAAAAGCCTTGAGTACTTTTCCAGGTGGCAAGAAATATGTTGATGTGTCCCTTAGAAGAAGCCTTTGCTGCCTCTGCTGGAAGAAGTATTCAGATCCTGAAATACTCAAGTAAAACTCCTGCCTACAAAACATTACTACAGTAAAGGTGTTTAATTGGCTGTGGATGTTAAGGTTGAATAACTTGTGTCTCCTTTATACACCATTTGGTAGTATAATGCATAACAGCAATGCATAATAATCTATATGATCACTTGTCTAAGCTTTGAAAACGCATAAAAAAAGCTGAAAATGTGTATTTTCACACTAATAAATGATTGAATAATTGTTTAGTCTATAAAATGTTAAAGAGTCTGAGTCCAAGGTGGGGGTCTATAAAAGTTGTCAGTCCAAAATCAAAAGATATTTACTTTAAAATGATTTTAAATAAATACAAGCAAGTTATTTTATAAACTGCATTTATCACACTTATCCATTGGTTGCGTTGTTGCTCTAAAATCTTTTGTGTTCTAGACCTTTTTGAATTCATTATCAAGCTAATGTTATAGGTTTACCCTCCACAGACAGACCGTACTTTATACTTTTATGGGCCCCACAATGCCCCTTGTGTTGCTGCCTCACAGCAAGGGTTGGTTCAGGCAGGGTTGTGCAATTGCAACAAGTAAATAACCAATCACTGGTGCTTTGTCCCCTCACAACGACTGGGATGCATCTTGCACAAGATCATGTGCTTCTGTCATTTAACTACTGTAACCATGTGACACTCTTCAATTGTTTGTGCTTGAATGATATGCCTGTTAAAACCTTTGCAATCAACATGTTACACAGTATAACAATAGCTTACTTACTGTAAGCCTAAAAAACTGTGCATTTAAAAAAGGTGACTGAAAAAGGTCACAAGCCCAAATGTCCCACACAAGTGTCAAAATGTTTAGTTTATCAGAATCTCATTTACCCGACAGATCACTATGGAGACCCCACCATTAAAGACAGAGAAATGTCACACACGCAGCTGATGTGCTTATGTAACAAACTGCTGACACCAAACACTGTTTTCAAAAGGCCCTGCAGGAGCCCTCCGCTCCTGCAGGGCCTTTTGAAAACAGTGTTTGATCAATACAATATTAATGATGATAAGTGTCAGGACTCAAAATCAAACAAATGGTGCCAGGAGACGTATTGAAACATCCCAGAATCTATAGATGGAAATGTTTGCAGAGATACTTTAACGGATAAAAAAGGATCTGAAAAAGTTTGCTAGTTTTCCTTGTGAAGCTGACATTTATTTTGTCATACCAGGACAACATTGTCTCAATTTAGAAAGCCTGCATTGCACCACTGTTACCTACCAAACCCCAGAACATGCACAGTACCGTCAATACAAAAAAAAATTGCATAAAGTATATGAAAATAAAGTTTACACGTTTAATGTCTAACAGTTTCCTTCAATTAGCATTTAAAAAAAACACTATAAAATATCTCAAATTACAAAATGGACCTTAAGGTGAGGTAGGTCATTTTGGAGAAACCAGCTCGAGATCGCTAGAATTTGAAAATACACAGCCGGAAAAAATCTGCCACTTCCTTACAGAGTCCCTCCTCCAACACACACGAACGCACACATGACCAATGAGGGCACGAGATAAGTTAGTGCACAGATGGAAGGCTGACAGGCCATCGGTTAAAGAATCAACACATCAAAGAAGCTTTCACGTTTGGGTGAACAATCCCTTTAATCATCTATAAAGGCGGTGCATTGAAAGGAAATGTTTCATAAAGGGGTATAAAAATAAAAATTCAATAAAACGTTTACACTAAACACACATCTACAAATGAAAAAAAAAAAGTGCATTTCTCTGACATTTAAGGCATCCACATAACCGTAGTGTGAGAAGCCCACACCATGACAGCAGCATCTTCACAAGACGATCAGCCCTAAAAACATCCACAGCCATAAATACAGCATTACACAACAACCTACATACAGTATGGCCCCCAAAGACTTAACTTCGGTCTCCTATTCTTCGTGCCCAGGTGCGTTTACAGCTGCTGAACATACTCAGTGTATCTGGAAACACACAGACCTTCAACAAAGTGGCTAGTGTCTTGCTCTAAAGTGTATCAACTATAGTGTATTGTACAAAACCACTAGAAAATATGACACCAATGGAGTGTCATTTACATTTGGGCAGAAGTGCCTTTACCCACAGGAAACCCAATATATATATAGTTCAGCACTCCTCTACAATGGTGCCAGCCGAGGAGGAGTACAGTTTTTTCTTGACGAGCCGAAAGCCTGAACTCAGTTTGAGTATGCGTCTGAAAGTCGGGGCAAAGCAAGTTCCCATGAACAGGAAGTCCCGCAGGCTGGGCCAGGCAGTGCCGTCCTGCTTGAACACAAGAGTCAGCTCAAAGGTGGGCACCACGGTGGCATCGTACACAATTCGCTCCAGCCGCTTGCAGCCCTTTTCCATGTCCAGGTGGACGTATAGGACGCACCCCCGCAGGCCGCAGGGCTCGCAGGCCGCCAGCCGCAGCACCTCTCCAGCTATCCTCTGCGTCAGCTTCTCTGGTACCAGCACAGAGGAGCAGTGCAGGGTTGTCTTCTTGGCTTGGGACAGGCAGTTTTCAAACATTTTGGCCAGCTGTTGACAGGTTCTGTCTTCAGTGACTTCTCCAGTCCTCTGGGGTTCAGCCAGGCAGTGATCCCAGAAGTCCAGTTCTAGGAGAACACCACAAGTTGAACAGTTAGGGACCAATGGCAATGTCTTATTTAAGATAAACATGCAGGTAAATAAATGGCTTTTTTCAAGATCCCATCATGCACAAATTAGTCAAGCCACAAACCACTATTTTAATAATGGATTAATAAAGTCATTTATTGTTGCACAAATGATAGAAATGTTGTGCATCTCAAAAATTGGAGCCATCACTCTTTTTCTCTCTCCATTTTATCATATTAAACTGGATATTTGGGGGCTTTGGACTGCCAAAAGATAATGTATAACATTTTGTAAACCAATTTTAAGAGACCAAATGAATAAATAATGATGGAAATTATGTAAATATTCAATAATGGAAAAAAGTTATTTTCTTCTAACAAAACAAATATGGATTGTCGGATTTAATGTGATTTTGCATCTGCTCAATTTGAGTGTGTGTTTATGATGCAACACTCAAAAGAAAAATGATTGTCAGACTGCTAATCTGTTCAAAGTTATAAGACATGCATCACAGCAGTCACTATATAGAAACTGCAATAAAATAATGTAGCTTTTGACAGAAAAATGGGGTTTAATTCGATTTTTTTCCCCCAGGTTGTTGTTGTGAGAGAGGCTGAAGGGATGACTTCATCCTCCCCTCCTCACCCCTCCCCTCGCTGCTGCAGCCATGCGCCACACACAGGGGTAAACAAGCAACCTGCTAGAAGAGTCCAGACACTAGCATACACAAAAAACACAGAAAAAAAGCTTACCTTTATCAATGCAAGCATAGTCATATCTTCTCTCCACCAATTCTGAGATATAGTCGCTGCTTTTGGTCTTTAATGTGCTTGTGGCGACCATGGCGACAGTGTGCGGTTTTCCTGTGAACATGTAGAAGTAGCAGCGTCAGTTTAACAGTGGAAGCAGGTTGTTTTAGCTCATTAATCCACAGCTGGCTCATTTAGCCACAATACAAAATTAAATGTGAACGCTTTTGATTTTCAAAATGTAACGTTAGCCATTAAGAAGTTAACTACTTTAGCATTACATTTCGAGCTAACCGTTCATTTTCAAGAAAATTACATGACTTACCTTAAATATTATTTAGTGGAAATATAATTTAGTTCAGAAGGTTTCTCATAAATAAATTCACAAGCAGTGTACACACTGACAAAAAAACACAGACCCACATCCACACTGAAGCTGACAAAACTTCTGAGGAATACTTATACCTTACTGCCAGTCAGCTGACCGAGGGTTGGACCAATCACAGCACGCCTCTCGACGTAAAGGCATCTCTTCTCTGATTGGCGGAAAAATCTCATTTCAATAAATTAACTGTTGATTGTCCAATTCATGGGGGATATAGTTGTTTTTAGGGAAAACGATAGATGCACGTTTTGAAGTATAAACCAATAACATATGAATATTTTTTATTAGATGTATATTTAGAAATTCGATTGAAAAAAGTGTGTTTTTTCTGAAGGATGAATAATCTAATTTGAATAACAATAAGGCTATCAGGACACTACATATCTGTTTGTTTAATGCTATTTGTGTCTAGTGTAGCCTATACCCCTGGCCACAAAGATTATTAGACCATTTATTCTGAAAAATCTAGGCCAAATAAATGTTTAAACATGTTGGGTCCCTCTATTTAGTCCAAAGACCTATGATGCACAAACAGTTCCTATTATTTTTATGTTTTAATTGTAGGAGAGGAAACTCGCCATTTTCATTATGGCTGCATATCAGCAGTATTCACACATTGAAACCTGGTACTATCTTGATATGAGAGGTTGAAGCATGAACAGTTTAGTGTTTGAACCCTCTGAATCTAAAAGGGCACAGAGCTCTGCAGCAAACTGAAGAATACTTACTTGTTAAAAAAATACTCCAAAACTCAGATAATGACAGGCATGCAATAATGCATGTAAAAAATTCCAAAATGTACACATGCAGCCAGTTTTACAGGAGGGAGCAGCTTTAAGAGCCCCCCTGTAATCTTACTGTGTGTGTGTATACGTGTATGTGTATGTGTGTACATTTGGCAGGTAGCAGTGAGCACAGTTGTTCAGCCCATCAGGTGTTTATCCCTCATCATACTCTTTCTCAACAGAAATGTCCCCACAGTAACTGGATCTGCATCTCTCAGACCAGCTGCTCTGCTGCTGGCTAAAGTAATGGAAATGTGGACTAGAGAGAGGGAGGGTGGGAGGTCACATGGGGGAGAACTAGATATGCCTCAGAAGAAGTCACATGCTTTAGCTAGTGTTACTGCCTTTGTGCATGCAGGCATACACAGTAAAGTGCTGCATAAGCAAAGCTTTGTTTAAGTTATATGAAGGCTTTGATATTAGCAGGGGATAAATAGGAGCATTCATGTTGTTTGACACATTTAGCATTCTGTGGGAATCTAAGCAGGTTTTAATGTAAACATATTCATTTATCGTAAGAATTTATTTGTGAAAAACTGTATAAATATGAAAAATGAAAAAGTTACCTGGAATATATTGTCATGATTTGTCATCCCCTTTTCTTGTTACTAGTGCTTTCTTGTTTGTTTGTTTGTTTATTTATTATTTGTCCCATGTTTGATGATTTATTTTGCTAAGTGCTTGCATATTTGTAAAAATACATGAAAAACTAATAAGGAGAAATGTCTACGGTGTTAAAAATCTAAAAACGAATTGTGTTAGAAATAATACAATAACTGTGTTTGCTATTTGATAATACATCAGCAGTAATCTGAGAACACAGTTACAAAATGCACAGCATCAGCTCTCATTGTCATGTGGTTTTAATGAGGTTTTGACCTAAATGTATGTTGAACATACAAGGTCAATACAGTCGCTGAGAAAGCTTAACTTAACCTGTAGGAAAAGACTTGAGTATTTAAAAAAGATCTTTTGTCAGTGAAGTAAAGTTGCGAACATTTTGAAACCTATACAAAATAAGAAAAACACAAAGAAATGTACTTTTAATATTACAGTTTTGAAGTGATTTAGTAAGTGCACAGAATACCAAAAGTTCAAATTCTGATAGCTCGGAGCTCAGGACCCATATTGCATTTTTCTGACTGTCCAGACAGCTGAAACAGAGTTCAGAGTGTATCCTTCATGATCTTTGAACTCGTGAAATAATACTGCATCACAGCGCTCAGGAGACATAATGTGTTAACAGCGACTGTCAGATCCATTGACTCGGTGGTGTCAGTGCTTAAGATGTTTCCCATGCCTCTTTGTCACATTCTGCATCTATTTTAACTTTGCTTTTGCATGTAAAGCCCCTTCTGGCTGTTGCTGCTCTGCTCCTGTCACACTGGCTGTATCTCAGCTGGATTTGAATAAAAGAAAATGAAATACTTGTCATGACTATAGTATTTCAAGGAGCTGGGAAGTAATGTGAAGCACCTCTGCATATGACATTCACTCCTGTGTTGGCACAGAGACACTACTAAAACTAAACTCTGCTTGTGAATTTCTCACATGTGCCAACTCATGCTTCTCTTATTGAGGCATAAAGATGTAGCCTCCTGTTTCAGGTTACTGATCTCTCCATGAACCTTCTGTTATCCCCGTCAAGTCTCTCGGTGGCAGTATGCCAGGCTGGCACCACTCTCCCTTCAGTGAAACCTCCCTTTTGCTGAGTTGCACTTCTCTACCACAGGAGATAATCTGGTTGTTTGTGCAAGAGTATCCTACGTGCATATCAGAGCCTTGCACAAGTAAACAAAGTTGGAAATGAAGTTGGAAAAAAGTAATGTAATATATTTGTATTTATTAGAGCCAGCACACGCAAAAATCCCTTATTCATAATTGATCATAATGGATCCTAAATTGCAAAATGGTGCATCTACTGTTACTTGATGTATGTTAATTAATGTCTCTACAAAAACCCTGCTTATGTGCTTTAATGGAGCTTTGGTGCAATAATATCTTACATTAGGAATAATTTGACTTTCTTTATGTAAGTGGTAGTTGAACACATTTGTTCTTTTGGCACAATGTTGCAGCATTATGCAGAAGAATGACTGAAGGCCACCTGACGCCAGTGTTTTTAAACACAAGGGCACTACTGAGAGACAGTCTTCTCTGAAAATACTTTAAAAAAATTTAACAAAAGAGAAAACTGGGGATACGCAGTAGCTTAACCATAATGGAAATGTTTCCTCTGGTTATGAATCTTGTATATTTCCTGAACTGTAGTCATGTTAATGTTTTAATCTGTTGGCTATGTTTTGCTATGCTGCAGATATTACAGATTTAGAGATATATTATGTGGAAATCACTCCCCACAGTACTTTCAAATCGATAACACTGTTTGTAAGGCAATATGCAGCTCAGCAAGGCTCTTGACAGAAAAAGGCACTTGATTGAAATTAATTCCAATATTAATCTTTCATTTTCAGACACTTAGATCCACTTTATAGTTGAAAGACGAGTAGATATCTGACTTTAAAGGGGAAACTAAGCAGCGTGGAGTGAAGCTGAAGGAGAGAGGCCTGGCATGAGTGTAACCTGTCTCTGCCACAGCTGTGTGTGATGGGCCGGTGCCCACCTGCCAAAGTCTCTGTCTCTGGAAATGTGCCCACAGTGGGAGCTGTCGGCCAGTCTCAGCTTACAAAGGCCACAGTCCTTATCACCCTGTGTGGAATCGATTCACAATGTGGGTCATACCTACAAAATGGCCGAAGCCAATTGAATTTAATTAATTGCATGAAAAATCACCATGTCCAGATGTGGTTTAGAGCCTATCTGTTATCCCTGAGTTATGAAGATCAAGCAGAGGGAGATTTTTACACCGGTTGCCGACATCTCACTCCTCTGTCAACTTCCACAAGAGAGAGGGGCAGAAACATGGAGGCTCTTCATGTTCACTGTCGGCCCCCTCTGGTGGAAAGTCGCTGAAAGGACAATGGTGGCCCGCAGAGCCAAGTCACAAGCCTCAAGTCTTAACATTCAGGTCTCAAGTCACTGTGGGAGTCAAAAAAGTCACGACGAGGCCCCTGCTGTAAGTCAAGGTTATGTTATCTGATTATCTACCTGCATTAACTTAACTACTTTTATAATGCTGCTACTTATTTATACGTGTAGCTATGTGATTTCCTCTTTATTCAATATGTCTACTCCTTTTATCTTTTAATCGTCCAAGCCTTTTATCCGTACGTTGTCATTGGCTGAAACAATGTACATTTCACCGCTGTTGGACAATTAAAGGGTTTCTGATTGTAAATTGCATGGAGGCAGCTACGTCACTTTTCTGCCACATACAGGTCAAAGAATATAGCTACTGAAGATACTGAAGCTTATTCAAGTTCATCGTATCTTATTAACGGTGAGATCCAGATAGCAAGCTTTGGGAGGGAGGGTCTTAAGTCTTTTAAGTGACAGGAAGCTGGCAGCCTACCCTTATCTGATTCTCTACCTGCAGGAAAACATGATAGGATGCACTTTGAAAGCATTGCATTTCATATCTGGAAGCTACAAACCTTGCTCTTGTGATTTATTGAGAACATGTAAATGGAGAGCAACACATTCCAGCCAAAAAGCATTTCCAGTGTCTTTGTATACAACCCGTCTTTATATTTACCGACAAAAAAAGAAGTAAATTACCATCAATACAAATCCTTCTGACAGCTGTGTACTTTAAAAAGCTTTCAGTAGAAACAACTGGTGAAATATTTAACATCTTAACTGATACATGAAAAGCACAAATGAGCAGCTAAAAAGAGCCTGTGATAAAAGTGAAATTGACACAAAACAAACAAAGCAAAAAAACCTACAAAAAAAACCTACAAAGCAGTTCAAGGCACATATGTGATAAGCAACAACCAAAGGGTAATTATAAAACGATGAAATCAACAGATTAATTACATCAAACATATGATGATCTGAGGTCAGTGCACTGTACAGGAAGGTGTTTTGTGACAAACATGTAGACAGAGATCTGCAGCTGTATTTGTGTTTGTCAACAGTATACTGAAATAAAGGGTGCTTTTATTTCTGTTCCACAGGCTGACAGTATTTAGCCTAGGTTATCAATATAAAGATTTACTGAATCAAATATATTGTAATTGAAAATAGGTTGACTTACTCTGAAATGTATCAATACACCCTGATTTCAGCATACAGAATCATACATACTTTTTGCATGTTTTCACAAAATCACGAGAAAATTCAAAGAAATCAAACAGTTCTTCCAGATCATCATTGTGTGGGCGACAGGTGTGAGGCACACACTGTTCTTGATGTCCTCCTTTTTTATCTGGCAGCAGCTGAAACATACACAACAACAGAGGAAAGTGATGAAACACCAGCAGGATAAAACCGCATCTGTGTGATCAAAACTTCATCCAACTCCAGAAATTATGACAAACATGTGCATTTTTGTCAATCCAACACTAGGAGGCGGTGCTGCATTGACTGAGTACATGACTGTATGTCTACATGTATGGAAGCACATTGATGACTTTATTTACAATGAAAATAAAAACGTCATGTTCCCCTAGACAGGTGTCCCGCCTACAGAGAATGATTGACATCCTAACAGAAGACCCGCCTTAATGAGAGGACTGACGGATTACAGTTTGACATCAAAAGAGCCTGGTGATATATAAAAAAATAAAAAATCGATGTCTTTTGGGGAATTTTGCTTGTTTATTTAGATATTTATTGTACGTTTGATATTTCTGGTCACTGAACTGTTACCTGAGCAAAATTCTATAAAACTGTGACCCGAAATAAAGAATACAAAAAAGAACATAAAAATGTAAATGATAGGTACTTTTTCGATTTAAATATATTGTAAAGCAGGTCAAGTTTTTAAAAAGTAAATGTGAATTGCCAACATTTACAGTCTTAAAAAAACCCGGCATTTAATGTTTTATTGTGACGTAAAAATGGCTGTTAATTTCTACTAAAAAACAACAACTTATAAAACAATCCTACTTGTTCCCGCTATCTGACTCAAAAAGTCATCTTACATTTTTCTGAAGCCAAACTGTACCTCATTAAATCATTATATTACATTAAAGTTAGGACAGTTAGGGTAGAGATACTTTTTTTAAGTCAGTAAAAAAGCAGTTTTGGGAATGAGCTTGGAGCGTGGGATTGTGAGGTGTTTATCTGTGTGCAGCGCGGTATATGAGCAACGAGTTCTGCACTCAGATAAGAGTTTATAAAGCTAAAGAATCCAGTAATCTGTAGCAACATAAACACCGTCTTCCTCAGCGAAATTCCTAAAACATGACTATTTCCTTCCGAAGCCCAAAGTCATCCCGGCCTTATTTTATTAGGGAAGGAAGATAGGACAATTAGTTTAGATGTTCTATTATTTTCATGGTTGGGGTGAAGGGGTAGTGAGTGTGTCCATACACCACAGATGACACGTATGAGGACCACCCCACTAACACACACACACACACACACACACACACACACACACACACACACACACACACACACACACACACACACACACACACACACACACACACACACACACACACACACACACACACACACACACACACACACACACACACACACACACACACACACACACACACACACACACACACACCACACACACACACACACACACACACACACACACACACGCCCGCAGCGTCTGGGCCACTCTGACATTTACCGAGCGCACAATAGCTCCTGTCCAAAATAATCTGTGTTTATGTTAGGAAGTCCCTATCTTTCAGGCCCTGCTGCTTGTTCGAGGGCGGGGGCGCGAAATCACAGGAAACACCTTCTGTTGCCCAGCTAAGCCCCACAAGCCCATGCAGTACAATAAGATATTAAAAGCCTGTAAATTCCCTGAACGTCTGGAGGAACGGCTTCACCAAACTGATGGAAGAATGGACAAACAAAATGAACTCTCGCTGGACATAGACGGAAGCAGCTCACCATTCTCGCCTGATGACTTCACTCCGAGGAGCATGACTCCATCTTTGGTGCTTTCCGGCCTGCTCTGGAAAGATGCGCTGTGGGGAGACAAAGGGATGGATGTTTTTTAACTTTTCAAATGCCCTTGCAAATAGAGTATAGAATTATATATTTAAATAAAGTATTAAACTCACTTCTCAGTTCCAGTATCAATAGTTTCTGTGGAAGAGAAGACAGGAAAATACGTTAACAAACCCAAATAGTATTCAATATAAAAAATATCTTGTAATAAGTTGAATAATGTATGAATATAGGAACCTTTGTTTACATATCATTTGTTTAAGTTAGTCTATCACAGTGTTTTTAGAGTTCACTGTTTGTCCCTGTCGCCTAAAAAAAGACTTATCCCATAGTTAACCTAATAATGGTTTGGGTTTAAATAGTCATGTATGTAACTTAAGTTAATGTTCAGTGTTTTATGGAAAGTTTTAGACTGGTGTGATACGTGTTGTACTCTCACCTGTGTGATCGTGGATCTTCTTGCATTGGAACTTGAGGAGGATGAAAGCAGCAGCTGCGACCAGCAGGACGGGCAGCACGATCCACCACAGCCTCTTGTCTGAGGGGGAAAGATACGATCATCAACATCAATCTGATTTGAACATCTGACCAAATGGCAGACCATTTTTTCAATTGCTTCCCTTCTGGAACTTTGCATATCTTTTGGCACAGTGTGTGGGGTATGACTTGGTAAAAGTTAGGTAAGATGTGAGTAGTACATTACCTGATGTTGTGGGTTCTTCAGGAAGATCTTTGTCAGTTTGAGAACCTATCAAACAATGTGTGTTTGAAGAAAAATAGTTGAGTTTTTGACAGGACTTCATATATTCACGGCTTCATTATGCAGTATGTTAGTACATTTAACTTACCTGCATCTTGACTTGTATCATTTTGTCCTGGAGTCATTGGAGGAGGTGCAGAGGTGTTTTGTACTATGGGATTGAAATTATGGAATTCATTATTTGAATAAAGCTATTCAAACACTAGTCAAGCAAGAAGAAGAAGAACAACAACAACAACAACAATAACAACAACAAAGGCAACAACAAGTGATGTTATTTTGTTATATACATACCTTTGTTTGGTTTTTCAGTGCTTTCATCTCCTTTAAACACATTTAAATACTGATTAAAGACTGCTTTCATATAAAGAATCAACCCATTGTCACACCAGAATATATATTTTGAATAATTGATATAAATATATTTATAATATCATGTATTAAGGTTTACAACATTTAATAATTTATCTAAAAAGCTGGCTCATTACTGATGATGTATCTGCTCCGAATTTCTTCTCACCTGGGGGGTATACTACGAAGCAGGATTTTCGCTTAGCCGGCTAAATTCAGGGAAAACTCCGGCTTTCCGGTCCTACGAAGCTGGTTCTCTTTTTAGCAGGCTAGATCTCCATGGTAACTTATGCTAAGCGGCTAACCTGGTCGGGACCAGGTTAGGTTGCAGGCTAAGAGCTCAACTCAGTGAAAGCACTGCCTGCTGACCAATCAGAGCTCAGTGTGCGGAGTTTAAAGCGATCAAGTCATATTACAGGAGAAAGGAAATACAGAAAAACTGCCGTCGCAGGAAAGACGGCCGGCAAAAATCACCGACTGTGTGAACGTGAACATTAATAGAATATCACCTCCCATCTTCAGAGCAATCTGACTATTATAACATTAGCGTTAAGAAAGCTTACTTAAATATCTGCCACAACATAAGTAATCGGATCAGAGTAACATTAAGTACAGTCCGCGGCATATCACTTCATAATGTATCATATTTTCTTATCTGAGTCAGCTGAGCCCTATCTGGCCGTGCAACACTCACAGTGTCACATACTGTATGCAGAAGTATTATTTTAAGCAACACATTAAGTTGACGAAACACTCGAGACAAATGTAATTAAAGTCAAATCGTGTTTTAGACGGGGCAGTGATATCATAAACCTGTTAATGTACGCATTCAAACACTTTTTCTTTTGCCAGCTGTATTCACCTTGCAGGTGCAGACTATGTGGCTTTTATCCTGGATAAAGTGTTTAAGTCATGGATGTTTAAAGTTTAACTTCTTCATTTTTTACTAGTATTAAAGTTCACTTTTCATTCAGGAAGTATGACGCTGCGCTGTCAGTACGCTTCTCCATGTTTGTGATTGGTCGAATGCTCCAGATACCAGCCCTTTCATGTGAACGCGCACCTAACTAGATAGGAAACGGCTGGCTTGAGCGATCCACTTAATAACCCGCGTCGTAGTACAGTTTAGCGAGAGCGCGTATGTTTTGGATTAGGCCAACCGGCTAACTCAAACATATCCAGGTTAGGTTGAACTAGATTCGTAGTATAGGCCCCTGGATTTTCAATGGTCGTGTTGGGGTTTACTGATCTCGGTTGGAAAGGTTTATCTGTCACAGGTAAAATAGAAAAAAGAAAGGAATTCATACACATTTCGGACAAGATCCTACTAATGCACTTTTCTCTTCAAGGTCAATTTTGCAAAAGCACATTCTTTGGGATGCAAACAGAATTCATTTATATAAACTGATTTAGAGCTCAATATTATACCAAAACCCTTTCAAAAATAGAAACACAAAGAAAAACGTACTTCCAGTTTCAGTCACGTTGACATGGACAGCAGGACTGGTGTTCACCTTCTTGTCTGGAGATGTTGCTGCAGGTGTAGCAGTCTTATGTGCTTGAGTCGTAACCTTGGCTTTACCATGGACAAAATAAAAAAAGAGAAATTAAAGACCTTCTTCCATTTATTTATCGACTTAAGATATATGCACACTCACTCTCATCAGGACTTTTGGTGGTGGCATCATTAGATACAAGGGTTGGTGTTGCTGGGGGGGTTGCTGCTGATGTTGCTTGTGATGCTGTTGCTTGTGATGCTGTTGTTGATGCTGTTGTTGGTGCTGCTGGTGGTGCTGCTGGTGTTGCTTGTGATGCTGTTGTTTGTGCTGCTGCTGTGGTTGCTGCTGTGGTTGCTGCTGTGGTTGCTGCTGGTGTTGCTGTTGTTGGTGCTGTTGTTGGTGCTGTTGTTGGTGCTGTTGTTGGTGCTGTTGTTGGTGTTTTGGTTGTAGCTGTTGTTAGAGGTGTAATTGTGACTTTTGGGGTTGCTAATATGCAAAAGAGAGATAGATTTGGCATATGAAAGATTGCACAAGATCTTCAGAAAACTCAAGGAAAGAAAAGATGCACGAAAGTCAAATTGCAATTAGCTTTACAAGTCAAACAATTGACAAAAAACAACTTTATTTTTGGCGGAAAGTTGGATGAGAAGATCAATAACACTTAGCACATGTCCGTTAAATGTAATGCCAGTTAGCTTAGCTTAGCAAAAAGATAGGAAGTGGGGAAACAGCTAGACCGAGTCTGACCACAGGTAAGAAAATCCACCAACCAACAAGCAAACTATTTAATATGTTACATATTAAAGGTTATACTGTTTTTTTCTGTCCCCCAATAAATGCAGTTGCCAGCCAACTAGAAACGTCTAGAAGTTACTGCTCCTGAATAAGAAATTGTCCAGTAAACCCTGCAAAATGGCCCATTTTAATTGATACATTATGTATTTTGTACAAATGAAAACACATGTAAATAATCAACCCAGTCTCATGGTATTTCGTGTTATAGTCACGAAATGTATTTCATCTATTGATTTGTGTCACACAGAACGATTTTAAAAGCAATGCATTTCTATTGGTAGTATGTTTCGTGCCTGCACCACGTCTTTTTGTCCAGTCGGGTCTTGGAAGACCCGACTGGACAACAATCTTACTCAATATCTTACCCTAAGCCTAACCCTTTTATTTTAAATAGTATAATGTTGGAGTTTTTTTGCCGTCCGCGAGGAAAATAAATGGGGCAAAGAGCCTCAGAATACTGAAATCTGTATTTTTTAATTCTTTTTTTCTTTCTAATTTGTTATTATTTACATTGCGTTTAAAATCGTTCTGTGTGACACGAAAAAAAAACGGGGAAATCGTGTTGGTGAACACGAATCAATAGGATCATTTCGTGACTACAACACGAAATGCCGTGAGACTGTGTTGAAATAATTGACCTACGAAGGTGCTGCTAAACAGAGTTTTTCAACTTGGAACCTTTCCATGCTAGTTTCACCCTGATTCCAACAATCTACTGACTATTCAAACACGCATTTTTTTTCACAGCATGATTACATAGAAAATCAATTCAAACATGTGAATTGATTGGTTATATTTTGTGCTGGGCAACACAAATGACGAGTTTATCTTGATGTCACTGACATTGAGAATCAAGAAAGGAGAAAAAAGGCTATTGTAGCCCTCATGGGTAACTGGAGCTCTACGATGGTCACCATATTTGCACAAAGAGTGGGCCAAAAAGAAGATTTGGAAAAAATAACACAAGCAGGGTGGACCATCTGGTAAGTGCTCAAAGTGAGTCACTTGAATCCAGCTAACGGTTGGACTTTACAATGAACCACGTTAGCACTAGCATTAACCTAACTTAGCACAACCAATGGTTTTCCAAGCATACTTGTCTTACTCTCCACCAGAGTTTACCCAGTGGCGTTTTCTCCTGGAGGCCAAGGGAAGCCAGGCTTCCCCTGTTTTTTCGGAGTGTAGTTATCATTTTAATAAATAAATAAAAACACTTCGTTTAGTTTCGGAAATTCTTTGTTGTGTGTTGCTGCCGGCCCGTCTCTCCCCCATTCTCATTGAGTATTTTACAAAGAGTGAAACAGCGCCCCTCTAGATGTTATGGTGAAACAGTAGATGGCACTCACTGTTGCGAGAGGAGGCTAGCCGAAATTGGCTTCCCTTGGTGAAAAAAAATTGAGAGATTGACCAATCAGATGAGGCTCACGTGATGCCCCTGCCAACCTGTGATTAGTCAGGTCCATGCCAAGGGAAGCAAGAGGCGGCCGCCTTCCCTTGCCTCACAATCCAATCAAATCGCATCAATTTAGTGGTGCAGTGACGCATCCTAAAACCCGGAAGTAAGCTGCGCTCGGGTTCCCTCGACATGGGATTTCTCCATAGGATTTAGGAAAATAGCTCGAAATAAGGTCAGTGGAAAACGAACCTGTTAGATAAATGCACGTTGTGTTCAGTCGGATAATATTCACATGTCTACCCTACTTTTATAATTTTCGAATCATAAATCGAATCGATAGAAGATAGATAGCGTCACTGCACCACTCTCACCGCCGTTAGAAAGTAGCAAGCAACTGAAGCAAGTGCAATTATGGAGGGTGAAGATTTGGAGTATTTCCTCAAAAATAATTGTACTAAACTTCCGCTACAGCAGCAACAACAAATACAATCTGATGACAGGCCGATGCCCAAACTGGAGCTGTGTACAGAGAGGAAAAAAGGAGCGAATCGGACGTAAAACGTTAAAGGTCTCCTGATTTAGTTTGTGAATTAATGCTTATTAGAATTTGGGCTGGAGAGTGCGTGCGGACATGTCGGTTAGATAACAGGTGTGTGTAAGTCGTGCATCGTATGATACAAATGTGTGTAAAATGATACCGGGTGCTGTAATCACTCATCTGGTTACGTTATTACATTGACCACCACACCCCCGACCCAAAAGAAAGGACGTATTATTGGCTTCCCCTAATTTTTTCCCCACGCCACGCTACTGAGTTTACCAAGTGTAAAACTATTGCTTAGATGCCATAGCTACTTACTTGTTGGCAGCTTTGCATCTGCTGTTGTTGTTCGAATCTCCTCTGCTGATGAAACTGTAAAGAAGAAACTTATTTTAGGTGAATTCAGTGACCAAAAGCTATTGTCCAGCATGGTGACTATGATTTATATGCTGACTGTCTGGGGTCAGACCGGGTTAATAAAATATAATGTGCTATCTAGGAATTCACAATGCTCCATTTCGTAGGCACCAGAATCAGTTTGTCTACGCAAAACATTTCCTCAGACAGATTCTCTATTTTAAGTTCACGGTTGCATATTTGCATCATTCCTGTTTGGCAAGGCTTTAAAGCCTGGCGTCTGAGACAAAGGCGTGCCAGCTCCAAGTGTCAGAGTAGAAGTCAGCGGTGGAGGTCGTGGAGTGTTGAGGTGGATATCCTCTGCTTGAAGCCCTGCAGCAGTGTGAAGCTGCATCCTGTCCCATACATACTATTGGCATCCTCTGACCTCAGCAGCCAAGCATCCTGTCTTCATTGCTGTCAGTTAGGATCCCACTCAACATATTTCTCACCAGAGCACTCACTGAAGCCAAGTCAACTCCTCAAATCTCTATGGCATTGAAGTTATTTTGGGATAAGTCCAAGGGAAGTTCCAGTCCTCTTAAAACAAGGGTCCAAGTTTCACATATTCTAGAGCTAGTCTACCTATTTGAGACAAAGTGATACTTCAAGTATTTTGTATCAGGTGTCAAGTAAAGTCTCAATTCTGTTGGTATTTTGGAGTAAGTCTCAACACCTCAAAGTCGTTTGAGACAAGTCCAAGTCAAACCTTTGTAGTTTTTTTGGATCATGTGTCAATTATCAATTTTCAAGTGGTGAAGTTGTATGCCATTACACACAAGTATCAACCATTTGGAGTCAAGAAAAGTCCTTTAAGTGGAGTCTCAAGTTAGGTCTCCAGTATTTTGGAGCCTGTCTTAGGTGTTAAATCCTTTACGAAATTTGACTTGTAGCAAATCTTAAATCAATCACAAATATTGTAAGTAATTTGAGACAAGTTCAAGTCAACTTAAGTCTCAAGTATTTGTTGAAAATGTCAATTAAAGCTCTGAAAGTTGTGTGGAAAGAAAACCTCTGCTGCCGTGCGGGCTGTTGGGCGAGGGTGTTTCCTCCAGATGTTTACCACCAAATGCTGGAAGTAGATTTGTTTCCAGTTGGGACACTTGGGTCTCAGGACAAAGATCTGTTGTCTCTGTGAGAGAGGGGGCGCTTTGGTTCCCACTGCCTATCTGCTGTCAGATCACCTATCTGCCCGGCGCAGGACAGATAAAAGGTCTTTTGGCTCAGCACAGGGAAAACAAACAAATCCTGAGCCACCCTCTTTTTCCCTCTCCATCAACCATGAGACACACACTTGTCACTTTTGCTCCTTAAATTTAGACTTGTGCTTGATATCTAACGCTTCTAATTAAAAAAAAATCTACCTTTCCTTTTTTCGTACTTGTTAGTACAAAGCACAACCAAGGGCTCACACACACATACACACAATGCTTATCTCACGCTGAATGAACGGAAACACACGGAGTGGATGTCGTTCAGAGTGTCTTCTGAACAACACTGGGATACTAATCTTTGCAAAACAAAACTAAATCTCAGAGAATAAAACATGAGTAAAACTTCTATTATCAAATTTAAGAACAACTTTTGCTGAAAAGACACCAAAAAAGTGTTACACTCGAGCAAATACGTTTGACAGTTTAGCCCAGGTGTGGAAATGTTTTGACACCATTAAATAAGAAACACATCAGTAATAAGGATGTTTTACCTTCTGCACTCCCACAGCAGCACAGAACAAGACTGAAGCTATCTTAGACTTTAAGGGCCCTCAGCTCTGATTATGTTAAATCTAAGACCAATCCAACAGCATGTATCCCAGCCACAAGTGTTTCCTACCTGGTGTGAAGACATGGACAGACACGAGCAGCAGCAGGACGAGAACCCTGATGGTCTTCATGGTGACTCTGCGCAAACTCCTTCGACTTCTTCTTCCTCAGACTCCAACTGAGCGGCCAGTGGAAAAGGTGCTGTGGCACTTTGCTGCTGTGGTTTTTTTCAGCACTTCCTTTAGATAAAGGAGGGGAGGAAATATATCGGCTTCCCTTCCTGACGTAAAACTGGGCGGATGTGGAGACCAGCCCAGAGCAGCCAGTGGGTACGAATGACCATTTAATCTCACATTTGACAAATGTTTTTCGAATGCATCGTCAACTCCCATCACTTATTTTTTCCTGTCCTGACACCACTTACCAGTTGGGAGGAGACAGTGCTGGTGATGGGTAGAGAAAGTCAGCTTAGCTTTATATAAACACTGTGGAATCCAAGAATTCTATGTAATTAATTATAAGATGAGGAAACAAAGATGTCAAGTACTTTGGAAAAGAATATTAAAAAACAGAAAGACACAGCGACACACTTTTTTAAGATATTTTCCAACTGTCACATGCATTCATCAACAAAACATATTAGGACAACTTTTTTATAACAACTTAGATAGCCTTAATGTTAAATGCTCTCTCTAAATTGAATAACCTGTAAATATAGTATCCATAACACATTTCCACTTTATTTTTTCTAAATAAAATGCTTATTTTAAGACCTGTATTGCTTAATCCCATCACTTTTCTATACTCTTTCTGTCATGCTCTTGAATCAGTTTTTTTTTTAATTGTCTAATTATTACTATTAAATGTGTTATCAAATCAGGCCAATACAGAATAACTGTCGTTGATGGAACCATTGAAAACAAGATCTTAATGGGCTATTCCTGGTTAAAGTGGACCTATCATGCTATATTTTAAACATATATTGTAGGTCCATACCTATATAAAACATATCTGTGAAGTTATTTTTTTCAAAATACCAAACAGATCATGCATTTTAGCCATGCCTCATTTTGCTCTATTTGCTCTTTTCCAGCCCTGTTTTTGCAAGGGCTGATTCTGTGAGAAGTCTTCTTCGCTGCTTTTGTGGCAGACTACAACACCACCTACAGGCCTGGCATATGTACTACAGCGTCTCCAGCACTTTCGAGCGGCAATGGCCGTGGCTGTCTCCTCCTGATAGGTGGAGAGTTGCCCATATAGGCGGAGCTCCTCGTTTCTGACGTCAGAAAAATTCAAATCTGTATCAGCTCCGTTTTTAGAGATTTGGGTATGGAGGAAAAGAGAGACACTTGGTGAGTTCCCTGACACACCGGGGACATATATTCATGTATAAAAGACGTACAAAAGTGCATTTAGCATGAGAGGTCCCCTTTAAATTTTCCAATAACAAAATCATTTTTGTTTAATAACTGTTGAAGCAGGTAATGAAGAAGTAAGTCGTTACAGGGGGGCTGCTCAAATACAAGCAATGACGTTTTACCATTCTTCATTGTTTATGTCACAATGCCTCCAGTGTCTTTGACTGTTTTCTATTCACGAGTCCAGCGGTTGGTTTGATGTGTTTTTTGTAAACATCTTATCATTGTGTATGATAATCATGGTTTTTGATCTACGGACACAGCACTAAGAACAACTTCCCTACCACTTGACATTGACATTTATATTTTCATTTTGCAGAGTCTTTATCTTAGTTTTCTTTTCATATAAACCCTCCGAGGATACCAAATCTAGCTCTTGTTTTTCTGGCACTCCCGAAAAAAACAGGATGCCAGAGTTTTCTTCCTTTCATTTGAGCATTGTGTTTGATTTCAGCTCAAGAGACCAACGAGAGACACTTGGAGGACAAGCAAGTGAAGGCTGCTCAGTAAAATATGTCGGAGTACTTTATTTGTTGACTGGAAAGTAGATTTCTCTGATGTGTTTACTCGAAGATGGGAGGTTTAATTTCCAACACAGCAGAGTTATTAAAGCATCGATATCAAATCTTGCCACATTTTGAACTTTGTCTGAAGGAGGAAGCCTGCAGATCTTGTGTACACAGGTATTATTGTGCACGCTTGGCTCAAGTCACTGAGGTTGATGAAGAGGAAACACCTTTGTTGCCAAACTGCCATGGAGCAGTTTCCCATCTGCACACCGGCCAAAATGCTTGAGAGGAAATGTAACAGCAAAACACGGAGACTCCTTCGCAGAACTCATAGTAGTGTGAGGATTCTAGCTCCATATACTGATTTTAAAGAACATTTCAGGTCTCTATACCTCTCTTGAACTCTGAAGTGATGATATAACATGTCTGTTAGCTACAGGTGTTTTCCTGTTCTCTCTTTTGGAAACAAACTATGATGTAGCTGAGTCACACACACATTCACACACACAGGAGAAGCGGGTTCATTTCAAGTTGAAATTCATGCACATTTTTATTGAACAGTTATATAAAATACTTTTCATAGTTGCAAGTGCATGCCTCATCTGCCAACAGTTTTGAAGTTAAATTACAAAAAGCAAGGCTTCATGTCGTGTAGTGAATTACTTGGGCACTTAAGCAGTTCTTAAAAAAGATCAAAGTTATTTATTTTTTTAGTTTCATCTTAAAGTATTGAGCAGTATCAAACCTGTAACTGATATACAAAGTAGAGTTCCAAATAATAATGGTAATAATAATAATCAAATTACACTTTCTGTGGCACATTTACAAAACAGAACAAAACTGATTTACCTGTTATATGACACAAACAGCTAATCATGCATTTTTGAGTTACACATGTAACCACACACCTCACAAGAATTGTCAAACATGCTTAATTGGACTGTGTGCACTTACAAGCGTAGGTTAAAAATATGATTTCTCATCCATCTTAGATAATTAAATGCTTCAATTACAAAAGAAGTTGAAGGCATAGAGCATCATGGTGTTAATTGAAAGTATGCAGGTATACGTTTCCAGTATATGTTCACTAAAGCGCAATATATCTCAAAACAGGCCTCCACAGCCAAGGTATTCAGATTTCCTTTGTTTGATTTTTATAAAACATGCATAGGCAGACACTTTAAGTTTATTGTATTTTCTTTTTTACACAATATAGGTTCTCTATTTTTACTTTGTTCGCAATACTTAAAAAGAGAAAAATGAACACTCAATTCCAGCAAGCCACGATAAATCTACCCCTCCCCCCTTCCAAAAGAGACAAACAAAATAAACATATTTGCAAATGATAGATAGGTAAATGTAAATTCCAGTTATGAAACTCAAGAAAATAGGTATTCATTACCGAGTTATTTAGCCATTATACAGAAAAATCAGGTCAAAGCACACACCAAAAGAACCTGAGGTAAGCATAATATGTACAAAACCATAAAATGTTCCAATATTTGGCATTTCGACAACATTGCAACATTCTTTTTAAGACTGCCTAATTAATTTCAGAGCTATTTTATAAGAGTAGCAAAAAAAAGTTATCAATAAATAGTCCTTATTTAGTTTGTACACCCTTATATGTTAAAAACACGATCTCATGTTCTGTCCTTTTTAGTGCTGTATTTTTGTAAACGTACAATAGTTAGTAAGAAGTTACACGGCTTTCTGTGTAAATGAGCAAAGGGTCTTTCAAGAAATAAAAGAAAATGATTCACCTTTAAGATCTGTTTCTCTCCGACTATCCGCAGGGGGGTGGAGGATCGCGCTCACTAAAGGCCTGAGCTTCAGAAATGTGACCCGGCAATAACTTAGCAGATTTTATTATGAACTAATATTTAGAAGGCATATCCAAAGACTAGAAAGTGAGATGGGCCCCCAGCGCGAGCCATAGATGCCTCCCCTCTCCACAATCCAACTCTCCCCCTTCTTTGCCCCTCCTGCGGTGGGGGCCGTGATGAGACTGGGGGCCGTGATGAGACTGGGGGCCGTGATGAGACTGGGGGCTGGGCGGCCCCTCTGGCCAAAGAGGCTCCGTGCTGCCTTCACTGGATGTTGCTGTCGCTGCTGGTGCTGCCCTTGGCGTCCGTGCCGTTAGTCTCCGAGGACAACGCCTTGTTGAGCGAGTTGAGGCTGGCGTCGGACGAGTTGAGGCTGGCGTCTCGCCGCGGCGGCATCCTCTCGTTGATGCGGTCCAGACCCTTGGCTTCTGCGAAGCTGGTGATCTTGTGCTGGGGCGAGAAGCCTTTGATGGCTGTTGAGATGCAAGAAACAAAAGGGGGAAATAGTGGCGAAATCAGGAGTGGTTTGAGAGGGCAGGGATGAAATGAGTAATAGAATGGGTCACACGCTCACATTCACCCACACATCACCAGATTTATCTTTGGTTTGGTCTCATGGAATTGTTGTAAATATTGAACTGAGAAAAGGGCAACACTCAGACGGCGTCTATCCAAGTTATCCATGAGAGATGAGTATGTGAAGGCATGTTAACAGTAATGGTACCTGCATCATGTGATCCCTAAAGAGCTTTCTTTAAAGGAATAGTTTGTCATTTTGGAAAATATGCTTATTTACTTTCTAAGGTCACGGATGATAATAATAAACAAAGTAAGCATACATTAGAAACGGTGAAATAGCCTGGCTCTGAAAATCAGCCTATTGGCTCTTTTAAATTACATTATTCAACACGTTCAATTATGTTTTTGTTATCTGTTCTGAAATCTATAATTATGTGGAATTACATTTGAGTGGTCGTTATTACGCTCTAAGCTTAGAAACTGTAGACCCAAAGCAAGCAAACAGATATGAGAGACGTACTGATCTCATTAAAAAAGCCTCTACCCAACAGAGGCATGGCAAATAAACTAAACAAAAATATCACTCACCTCTGCTCTGAATAATAGATATCAATGGCATTACTGCGAAGGGGAACAACTGAAGAAGTAGATCTGCTCTGCCTTAGTCGAGGTGGAAATGAGAAATAAAGCTTCCCGTCTTGGTTCAGACTACAGAGCCTCCGTGTTGTTGTAAACATGCAATTAATCAATTCACAAGTTGACTTTGACTGATCGTCTCGCGAAAGCTGAGAAAAATACACCCGTTTCTTGAAATGTATTACTTTTTCACCATGTAGCATTTGCTTTGTATGTTGAACTCTTAACAATAACATACATTCAAAAATAAATCTACCTTATCCCTCAGTTAGGAAGTAAACAAGCATATTTCTCTAAATGTCCACATATGTGTTTATGATGACACAAATCTGAACTATTCATTTGTCTGAACTAAACTGTGTTCAAATGTGTTTTTTATGAACAACAGCATATATCGTACAGCATATTACATAATCGTCACTTTGAATGTTTAGTCGTTAAATAACAGATAAACAATTAATAAAAAACACATTTTTGTGAAATGACAACACAATAACACATTATAAAGAGTTACAAAATGATAAACTGCACAGACGAAAGGATCAGATAATCCTTCTAAATCTAAAGAGGGTTCTACTGGAATCAGGGTCTACAGGTTTTCACCGTGCCATCAATCTGTGCTTCAATCTGAGAAAACTGGACCGTTTAATAATGGCAGCATATTCAAATAATATTTTAACTCGGGCACATTGCAGAACACCTGAGGACCCCAAACATCCAGATCACCCCGTCACGTCACAGATTAAAAAACGACAAAAGGGAAGAAGGAGAATGGTAAAGAAGAGACAAATAAATAACGAGGGAGGGGGAAAACAAATACTAGAGTGGAGCCCACCGAGACATTCACTTTCACAAAATAGAACCACGTTGAGACTGAGCTCACGTACAGAGACACTACAGAGGAACAGGGGTGCCAACACCTTGTTTGGTCTGCTGGAGCATGCAGCAATAACGTAAGGATTCACGGGAGTGTTTGAAGGCTGGGGGTCACGATGTGATTTAGCCTCAAGTTCAATAAAAAGTAGATTCAATTCAGAGTTAATAAACATCTGTCAACTCAACACCGATTCATTCATTTCAAATGGGATTCATATGGAGGCTCTGAGAGACAAGTGAGAACATACAGAGATCTAGGGATACATTTTCTAAATCGGATCAAAAATGTTTCTGGTTTAAGAAGAGGTGAAAAAAGTTGATTTAAAAAAAAAAAAGAGCAAGATCTTTTTTGTAAGCGCTTGTTGTTGTAATACTAATTTAAGCCACAAGAGGCTCACGTACACCAATACCACATATTTTAAATAGGACTAAAAGCAACTTGATAAGGAACAATATATGTACCTTGAGTTAAAAATGGATGGAAAAACTCCTGAAAGAAAACACAAATATTTCTTGTCCTATTTAGAACACGTTTACTTCAGCCTCTTGTGGCCAAAACAAGTATTACAACAACAAACTCAACCAAATGAACTTTCATTTGCTTAAACATAAGACTTTAAAAAAAGAAATACTTGTTCTTGACTGTCAAACAGAAGAGAAAACTATTTTGATCAGACTTAAAAAATTGAACACTAGATATGACTTTCTTACTTCCTCTTGATGGCTTCTGTAGATGTTCATTGCTACTCCAATAGTCAGCTTGATTGAGTTTCATCTAGCCAATTATAACTCTAAAAAGGGTTCAAATATTGTGACTTCCATCTTTCATAAAGGCGGGGCTCTAAATGGGGATAGCTACGATTGTAAAGATGACCCTTTACTAGAAAGAAGGGGTGGGCATAATTTTAGACGATACATTGGGGAGTGTGGGGAGGGGCATGATGGGTAGCGTAGTTGTGTTGCTGCATAGCACAGGTCAGACACAGGTTATTTGCAGCTCACAGGAAAGAAACACGACACAGCAGGGCCACAGAGGATCCACACGAGAGAGAAGCAGAGAAGTGTCTCGACTGTCCTCTGTGAGGCTAGAGAGGAAGTGCCGCACAATTCCAACGTAAATAGCAGCTGGCAGGCTACTATTTAGCGCACAGTTGAGGTTGTTCTTGCGCCAAATGCAATGTTAATAAAAATGCTTTTTGAGGGAGATTTACATTTGCATTTCAAAGCCTCCTGTGGAGCGTTTGTCTCTATTAATCCAGATTCAACTCGAAAAGAAACTAGTATTATTATATTAATACACCAGCAACAACAAGTCACAACTGCTTCAGTCGTCTCAAAGGGGAAACACATTTATAAACTTTCATAGCAAGACTTCACTGTATTGTGTGAGCAGAGCAGAGCAGGGGGAACACTATCTAATCACTCACTAAAGTATGGGAGTCATTTAAACACTTGTTTAATGTACCTCTCATCTCTGGCTAACAGCTTTGGATACAAGTGCAACTTTCCACCCAAATGTATCTACAAGATCTACCAAGCACTGTATGACTTATAGATATTGTCGTGGTCCAACGGGTGCCACTTGTATCTGTTAAAAGCTAATTATAAATGCCAGATTACGCATACTTACCTACATCTCTCTCATATGTCTTTTTAAAAGGTGCACATACTCAACTGCAACTACTGAATTGTCTTATAATCCTCCATTAAAGATGTATAAAGTTAAAATGTGTATAATGTTACTAGGACTTGAGAGTACTTGAGAATAACCTGAATGTTTTCATGCTTTGCGCTCACTCAATATCACAGTGTGACTTCAAAGTCTGTGCTATGAAATCCATTCCCCTTTAAAACATTGTGTGACCACAGGAGTTCCTAATGACGCACTTCTTTTTCTCTGTTAATACTATGCTACATTTTGTTAGCTCAAACACCCAACACACTCTATTCAAGCACCAGCGAGATGAATGAAAACCCAGCGGAGCCCCCTGTCTATTGCCATGAAAAGCAACAGAAGAGGGCGGCCGGACCCATTTACCTTCGTCAGCCTCAATAGCTTCAATAGTAGCTGAAGAGAAGAAGAGGGGGGTTGCAAAACGAATGGGAGAAGTGAGCAGAGGAGTTCATTTAGTCCTAGGAACAAGTCAATGAGCAGCAAAGACAGCCAATGCCGACAACAAAGGTTAATGTCATCTCCACATTTTGGGACAAAGGACACATGATGTTAGCAGAGAGGGGGGGGGGGGGGGGGTGAAGGAGAGGGGTTAGCTTAGCTTTTTTTAAATTATGGATTCCAGATCTGTAAAGGGAAGGTGTTTTCGGCTGTGAACAACCTCATGGAGAGGATCTTTGAGGTAATCAATGTGGTGATAGAACAAAATGAATACGGCAGGGACCAACATAGATAACAAATACGACACGTTAAAGCAGGAAATATATTAGTTCTTAACTTTTGCGCACATGGAGAAGGGAGGACGGATGGAAACAGGAAAAAGGTTTAGGTGCATGTGACTGTGACTGTGGGTTTTATGGCTGTGGTTTATTTGTTAATGTAAAATCGAAGCGCTGTAGACATGGACCAGCGTTACTGTTGTGTTGTGTGCAGCATGAAGCAGCATCTGGAACTGCAGGAGGAGCATCTTTTGATATGAAATATCAAAAATGCTGGCTTACTTTTGTGAAGTGCAAGGGAGGGGTGGGGGTAACCTTTGTGTTTCAACCACTTACCAATGTCATACTTTAGTTCATACAGTACAGCTGTGTAAATCATCTTTACACAGAGACACAGGGGTGAGGCAGGAGGTGACGGCTATACAGTACTGAAGACTACAGGACATACTACCATGGGGATGAGAGAGAATTACAGAAAGGCACGAGAGCTACAGACTGTAACAGAATGGTGATGGAGTCAACATTACAGTAGAAGCACACTGGTGTCTGCTTACAGGAGGGGAGCAATGTGATTCTACCAATGTTGCAGCAGGAATCTCTGAACAACACCCTGCCTTCACTGCGTTCTCTTTAGTGTCAGCTGCATCCAGAAACTCTACTTTCACTATCATGTAAGATAATCCTTACGACTCCTACTATACATTTGCATTGGGTATGCTTACATTTAGAGTAAGTGTATGAAACTATAGCTTTATTGTGTAATGTAAAACTAATGCAATAACAGTCTTGTTTTTTTGCCTCAATTAGTAAGGCTGACAGAGGAGAGCATCCCATCCTCCCTAATCTCTGAAATGCTGAGTTTCTTCTCAGAATATTAACATATAATAATAATATAATCAACACTGAAGCTTCCTGCACCTTCCAAAATCATGTGGTAGTCATATGTGTAATGCTATTTTCCTTCAAAGTGACACTATGTACATTTTGAAATAACAAATAGGATATTATTTCATGTTAGAAATGAAAGTTTGAACTTATAAGCAATAAAATGCGCTTGCTAAATTGCCTTAATTGAGTGGTTTTGCTGCTATAGCTTACGTGGGACCAGAAGCTTCTTCACTTAGCATAACTTGTGATTTGAGTGTATGCTACATTATATCCAAGTTTAAAACATTGAGCAAAAATAATCATACTTTAAAGTAAATTATTCTTAGAATGTAAAAACTACTCCATGTGATATTTCTGTTTCTCACAGAATCAAGGTATGTACTTGGTAATGTGCTAGCTGATGTGTGAGAACCTGTGAGAGGCGAGGGAAGTCGTCTGGATTTCTGCTTGGTTTTGTAAAGGAAAGGCAGACAGCCTTTCATTCACAGTTGCTTGTGTCAATTCCAATTCATCCTTTGAATCACAGAGAGTCCCGCGTCTGTCCCCGCGGAGCTCTGTTGAGATCCACCACTAAGCGCTCAAATTTGGACAATAAAGTGACCATTTCTGTCAGGAGTCCCAAGTCAATTTGAAGTGTTTGTAAAGGCGATTCCAGAAAGCCTTTACTTCCTGGCTGCAGCGGCATGTCAAACTCATTTAGGGAGTGTTTGGAATTCAACATAAGAGGGTGGACTGAACTCTAAACTTGTAATAATTAAATAACACAACAGAATACTTGCACAACCGATTATACCTGCGGTTTCTAGAAAGAAAGGAGAAAGAAAAAGATACAGGTAATATTTGAAATAAAACCAGTGGAATACAGAGAGAGACGAGGAGACAGGATATTAATGCGAAACATCAGGAGGGAGGCACATTAGAGAAGACAAAGGGGCAAAGGAAATCTGCTATACGTCTTTGGCATTGTTAGTGAAGAGCAATCTGTAGGAGCTATAACTGGATATTCTATCATTAAGAAGGCAAAAGCTACATTAAAGAAAGCTGTTATTGCTTAGATGTATTCAACTAAAACATGCAGTATAAAAACACTCAGCTGCCAATCACATTTAACTACACTTACAGATTTACTTTGAGGCAGCACATTTCAAACCATCACTAAGGGAAAAAGGAAGAGAATCCCTAAACACTGAGCTGGCACTTTATTCAGGGTATTGCTGCGTAAGGGGGTTTTATGTGTGTGAGAGTCTGTTGTGGGGGCAAGGCTGGGGGTCTCGGGTACTTGATGACAGTCTTACCATTCTGCAGCTTCTCCTTGCCTCCGGACAGAACTCCGCTGGGCAGCATGCCGGTCGGGGTCAGGCCCTTCAGCGTCAGCACGCTCTCACTCTCCTCTCTGCAAACACAGGAATACATTTACTACTGAAGGTATTACAGTATTTGATCTTTAAGACATTTTATTGATAATCCTTTGTAATGAAAGCTGATTAATTTCTCTCCAAAAATGCCAGACAATTTATGAAAAAAACACATTTAACTTGTGGATCAGGCTGAAAACACTATAAATATATATATCACTTTATAAAAAAACTGAAAATGTGTTTTGCCGAGTTATAAAAGCAGTGATATTGAAGGGAAAAAGTGAGGTTGCAAATCAAAACCAAAGGCTAAAAGACAAACTGATACTGAGAGCTGAAGGCAACTGCAGAGTGTGTTACTTTAACTCCAAAAAAACAGGATAATGACTAAATATGATAAAAAAGGATATTTAAAACAGGACTTAATAAAATAGCTGAAAAAATAAAACACAAGATAATTCTGTGGTTTCGTAAAAACAAACGACAGCTTTAATATTCAGTCGTTTGATCCATTTTTCACACAAAAATATTGATAGGCGCCGCTTTCAATATTAAATGAAGTCTCTTGTAATGGACTTGTATTGCATGTAAAGGCACAATGGTCGAACATACAGCATTTCTTTTTTATGTCTGCGTACCTGAGCACAGAGAACACTCGGGCCATCTTGCCGATGGCGCGGATCTTGTTGCGGATGACCTCCTTGCGGGCAGAAGCTGTGGCACCTGGAGGGGTCAGAGGTCACACGCAGTCAAACAAACTGTGACTCATGTATACTACACCACGTCCTGTGGAAGTGTAATAAAGACCTTGTTGTCTGGGTTTCCCATAACACTCAGTAAATGTGCTAAGATGGCGCCAGTCTTTCGGGGGATTAGTTTGATCCAGAGGTGCATCCGGCCAACACGATGCAAACACAGCGTGGTTATTACAGTTTGTATCTGTCCACACATCACAACAACCGAGTCACTCTCAGCACTCAGGGCACTCATGCTGCCTGTCGAGTGGTGTTCAACTGAAGTCCTGTTACCTCCTACGTGCTGTTCTCCCCAGGTGCTACTTGTACTTCTAAACCTTGTTACATCATGGTGTCCAAACGTGTCTGTTCAGCACATTGGATGAGAGCACTCTATATGGTTTTTCCTGTGCTGTGTTTTGTTTGCAGAGACCCAAACGGGAATGTTCCTGGACTGGAAAACTAAACGTTGTTTAATTAAAGAGACCTTTCTGCAGAATAACAGTTTGAAGGCCCCAGGGAGCTCGTTTGGAAAATGTATGAAGTATGAAGAATGGACATGAAGCTGATGTGTGGGGGGGGGGGGAAAGGAAAGAGCTGGCTGTCCTCTCCTCCTCTGTTGGATACTCCATTATTACCTACAATGTATTTCTCTACAGGACTGAACCCCTGTTTCAGTTATGCTTACTTTAATGTGTAAAGCTTGTAAATTACTTTAGCTAATGTGAACAATAGTGAAGAATAATCTTTTGCTTGTGTTCGGATATATGTGTGGCAGCTTATAAGGTTCATTGTCGGTGAAAAAAACATTTCAAAAAGTTGTATAGAGCCAGGAAAGAGAGCCAGAGAAAAACGTTTTATATAATATGAGATTAACGTGGTAATTTACAAGGAAATTAATGGAATATTCTTTGGGATTAAGGTAAGAAATGTATATCTAAAGTCAGTGAACTACATGGCTTCATTTGGCATGTTGGATTCACCTCATCTCTCAAGTTTTCTGTCTGTCTGTATTATTTTATAATCCTTAACCTATGCAATTTTACTTTCTTAAAGTTGACTACGTTAATCCCTAATTTTCTTAGCTTTTTCTTGGAATACTTTACCCTTCTCGGCTCTGTAATTTAGTTATTTTTTTAACTTGTAATGGTTCCTATCTGCATTGAAGGTCGCAGCTGAAGCATGTAACATTTCGGAGCCTTCTTTGTGGAAAGTAATGAAATAGAATAGATAAAATAGAAGATACATAAAAAGACTGAGTAGTAGCAGTAGAAGGAGCTTCAAACAGTGCCGTTAGTTGACAGACTTCTGAAACACAGAGCGCAAGCAGCGGACAAAGGTCGATCTACTTCTGCACACACCACTAATGTTTGTACCTTTTTTGGGGGTATATATTAGCTGTCCTTCTCATGAAACACCCCCAGAAGACAAGAGAAAGGACAGAGAGATCAGTGGATGGCTGCAGAATGAAAGGTGGCGGAGAGGGGCCAGGCGGCCAAATAAAGAAGGCAAGAAAAGCACAACAAGTGAAAAGAAAAGAGATGCCTTGAACACAAAACTCTGGAGAACATAAAAGAGAAATTAGATGACCAAATAAATGACAACATCACAGCATGAGAGAAAGAAAGAGAAAGGAGGAGAATGCAAAGTAAATATGTGAGATAAACAGCAGTGCAATGAGAGGATCATACAGGCACAGAAAACAAGTTGATGAGTGAGAAAGGTAAAGGAACAATCCGGATGTCAACAGAGTGAAAATAAATGAGTTGAAATGGCTGCAAAATTGAAAAAGAGGTGAGCTTAAAGGTAGGTAGGTAAGAATGGAGAAACCGGCTCGAGTGCGCTAGAATTTGAAAGTACACAACAGGAAGAAATCTGCCCCTACCTTCAGACTTCCTTACAGAGCCCCTCCTCCAACACACACGAACGCACACATGACCAATGAGGGCACGAGATAAGTTTGTGCACAGATGGAAGGCTGACAGGCAGGTAGGCCATCCAGTTACTTCAGCCGGGCCGGCTCAGATGATTGGTCGTGCTTTTTACAGTACTACGGCTTCCACAGATGACATTTTTTATGGATTTTTTGTCAAAGCATTTAAGATATTCATTGCTATCGGGATGTTAAGAGCATTCCATGGAATATAACAAAAAGTGTTTCTGAAGTGAATTACCTACCACACCTTTAAGAAGACACAGAGAGGGAAATGTGAAAATAAAGTGCATCAAACAGGATGATTACATGTTTAAAGGACGGCTAATTATTTGTATCATTCGTTTTTTTCATGAAATTATGCTGAAAAAACCTTAAATCAGAATGAGCAAAAAAAGGAACAAATGTTATTTTTCTAATGCACAGATTTGTTGACACTCCTCGTCTAGGTGGTGTTTATACAGATTGCATCAGTCAACACAAAGTGCGTAAGAGAGAGGGGTGGGGGGGCGCTGCAAAGATCGTTTCCTGTTTGCCAGAGAGCGGCAGGCAGAAGGAATCTGGTCATCTCATTGTAGATAAGCAGTGACCAGGGATCAAACAGATCATTACTATATGACGATAAGAAGCCTGAACTGTGTGTGACTGACTGTTCTGTGTGAACCCTAGAGGACGTGCACCCCAGAGTGATTTCCTGTAGTATAACAATCGCCGCTAACGGTTGCAATTATGGCATTTTAAAGGAATATTTCACCCACAGTAAGACCGTCTGTATACTGACAGTTTCTAAGTCATCGCTTAGTATCTGAATAAGTATTTCCAGTGGCTAAACCCAATTCAGGAATGGTTTATTGAGTTTAATGAGACAAATAGATCCTCGATAGTCTCTCTGTGTGTTAAAATATGTATATATATATGAAACTAAATGATCTGAAAGTAGGGTGGAGCAGCCATGGGTTATGCAAAAAACACAAGGAATGTGTCTGTGTGTGTGTGTTGTTCTGTTTAGCAGAGGCCTCCCTCTTGTGGCTATAAGAGGAACTGCAGTGAGAGCAGAGTGCTCACCGTCCAGCTCCTCGTCAGTCGTCAGCTCGTCATTGGAGCAGATGCTCAACACGTTCACCAACATCTCAGTCACTGCGAGGAAATAGGAAGAACATATTTTACAACATGGCACCCGTTTTACTTTTTGTAGTTTTATTGTCCTTTTCAAAGTGTCACAGTTTGGTCAACAATTACAATATTCCAACATTCATTTTTTTATTCTAGCACCATTCTAGTTAAGTCCAGGGTATGTATGTGTGCTGTGTATGTGATTATTTATCTCCACGTGGCTTCACTTCTGGCCGCAGTGACAAGGCATTCAAAGCAGTACACACACTTGGCCAGATATCTTTCATTCCTGTTCTGGAAGATATTTGTTCCCATGTGTCCATTTTTGCCAACTCTTGTTTACCGTTCCCAAAAAGAGGACTTGGTTCTTCCAGTTTCTCCTTATAATTTCCAAAACATCATACTGGTCTGATTAAAGTCTACTGATTCTTTAATCATTTGTGGATCAATGAATACATAACATGTCATGGCAGAGTTTAAAGTCTAATGCTTTAGCCAATAGTGCTGTATCACTACATCATGGGACATTCAGGGCACCCTTTTTTAACATACCACCTCACGAGTAACCTTTAAATATTTCCATGCAGTCCACCTGGTGCAGTTAGTGTCATATGGAGCTAGTTAGACAGACAGTGATTCCCTGAGTGACCTTCCACACCAGAGGTCGCGTTAACCGAATATTTTCCCTCTATGACGGATCTTTTTTAACAATGACGGAAAAATCTGAAAGCAGTCCATCATTTTGACAGATTAGAACTAACTCGGAACAGCGCCAAAGGTTCCCCGCAGCGAGGCTCCGGTGTTATGCCGTGTTATGCATGCCCGCCAAAAAGGAAATGATACCGTTTCCAAACCTAACTGTGCCGTACAAATCATTGAAATGTCTGTGAGTTTTGGCTTTACGCTGTGCACGCTCCCGAGGTGGGCATGCATAACACGGCGCACCCCCCCCCCCCCGTTGACAGTTCACGAACATGCCCCCCCCCCCCCTCGTCAGAGTTGTGTAAAGGCTGACGGGTAATTCTGAAATTTTACGATCCTGTCCGTCAAAATGACGGGTAGCGAAAAAAGTCTAGCGCAGCCTCTGCTCCACACACACAGTGAGTAATGTCCATCAGTGACCTTCACATTGCTGAAAGAAGCCCTTTGAGGAAGGGTCACACCCAAAATAAGCTTCCTGCAGTGACTCATGGTTTTGTGATTCACAGATGTGTCACAGGCATGAACCAAATGCCTGGAAACAACCTCCAGGGCAGAGAGGGAACGCAAAGGTCCTTTTAAATGTTTTTAAAAGTCAACTGTTAATTTTGAAAGTAGATCAAATAAATGTCATACTTTATTTAAATGCGTTTTTAAGTTCAAGAAAGAGTTGAATAAATGCATGATGTTTCTAACACTCACTGTTAAATTATGGTGATGCTGTTATTGACCATTAATCTTACAAAAATAATAATAATGCGTGTTTTCCTGTTTTCAAGCACTCATGCCTAGTTGCTGATTAGTGCTGTATACTGCCTTTAATAGTGTTATGAGTGTGTGTGTGTGTGTGTGTGTGTGTGTGTGTGTGTGTGTGTGTGTGTGTGTGTGTGTGTGTGTTTGCTCACCCTTCTCCCCGACGAAGGGCAGGGACCAGGTGAAGACGTCCATGAAGTTGGGCAGCCAGTAGGGGTGGGGGGAACAGTTGAACTGTCGGATGTTCATCACGTTGTTCTCGTACTTCAGCACCGCCGCTGGAGAGGAGAGAAGACGAAGAAGGTGTTAAAATGTGTCCAAATCTGTGCGGTTATATCATTTTCTACTGTCACTGGACTCACACGATGAATAACAAACCGATATCAACTCAAATAAACTACTAACATTACGTGTTGAAATTCATGGCACCTCTCTTTTCTTCTTCTAAAGTCAGACTCATCTGAAATCAATACTCAACCGAGAGAGAAAGCATCAGATCTGATTGAGGTTAAGGTCCATTAACAGCTTCCATCATGTTTCTAACCACCACTCAAAAAACACTTTGTGGTCTCAGAAGCTTCACACACCGAGGTTCATATCTGTCTGTCGCTGCAGCATGTCACTAGCTAGAGAGAGGTACCCACAAAGTATTCAGACTAAAGAACCAAGAAACAAGGGGAAGTGGTCGGAAATATCACCAGACCATTATGAACATTAAACGGTAATATCCAAACAAGGGTAGATGGATTGTTTTGTAAGCAGATTTTGACACAGAAGAAGAAACATTATTATTTACTACTTTAACTCGAAAGGTACTCGGGGATCACACAGCTCCACCACGTCTGTTTCGAATAGCGTAAAATAATGTATTTGCAACGTGTCCCCCGTTATGTAATGTGTTCTTCCCTGGCCAATGCTACACACTTCCGCCATGTTTCATGAACTGGGCAAGTATTATCTTTTTTAATTATTAAAAAAAAACGTATTTTCATCATCGATTATTCTGCTGATCATTTTTACGATAATAAATCATTGTTTAGTCTATGAAAAGTAAAAAAAAGCCCATCATAACTATATCAAAAACATCAAAACATTTATTGTTGTTGTTCAAAAGAAAAGCACGGTCACTTCAAACTATACATTTGACCAGAAAATATATGTCAAAGAAAAGCAGGAAATCCTCTTGATTGAGAGGCTGGAAATCTGCAATCTTTTGGACTTAACGTTTCATCTGTAATATTTAATAAAACTATTAACACTTGTGTTTGAATGTGAAAAGTTCTTGGCCGTTTCTGCTGTTTACCTCCTCTGGTTAATGATTCATTAGCTGCAGGTGCTGTGCAGAAAACCAAAATCACAATTTGATACACAGCTCCGTTTGGCTCAAAAACAATTGAGAAAAGTGAAAAGTGGCCAAAACGCTGTCATCAACACCCAGACTGGCCTGAAGCCTGGAGGAAACTCAATCTTTCAGACGCTGTCAGTCAACCTCTGGGTGATGACAGTGAATAAAAGGATCTGATAAAAGTACCTACTGGAACATTTTCAGGTGATGTATTACCATCAGCGTGTGTCAATCTCTCCCTCTCTCATTTCCTATGCAGAATTATAAACTAAAAATGTAAATTGAGGGTTAAAAACTGCAGCAGCATCAAAATGAAGGGAACCAGGGTAAACAAAAACAAAAACTAAAATCAATCCCCTTTCACTCGCTCGGGAGCATTTCCTCTCGTATCGATTACGGGCCCCCAGTTGCTGATGCATGTCTGTCATTCACAGGATTGGATGCATGAATAACATCACAGAAACACATGGCTCAGCGTTTAGGATCTATAGGCCGAGCACTTTTCATTAGTTAACAGAAAAGCGTCAATTTCAAGAGATGGAGAGAGGAGCCATAGGCGGCAGGCTATGCTAATGATCCAAGAGACTATATATGATGATCACTTTCTAATGTGACATGGAGCTGTGATATGCAACCGCTTACCCCTAGTAATGTGTTCCTTCTTATGGTGCTACAAATATATATATGTCAAAACCTATGTGCTGCAACATAATTAAGTATTGATATAATTAAGATAGCTTTTTGGAAATATGCATTCTTGCCGAGTTAGAAGAGAAGATCATTCATCTTTTCATTTAATTCTCATTAAGTATAGATCATGTCATTTAAAACCACTACTTTAAAACATATGATCTTGTTTTAATTTGAGTTATTTTTTATTCAGAATCATGTTAATTGCCAAGTAAAGGGAATTAGATTTGGTGTGTTGGTGCATAAACAAAAAACATGAATATAAAAAAGAAACCACTTAGAAGAAAAACATCGATGAAAGGCGCTTTAAATTAGGAAATATGTACAATGTCACTGTTTAAAAATAAAGACTTGGGCAGGAATGTGCAAACTAAAAAGAATCCCATTAGAACAATTAAATAATGCTAGAATCATTAAAAACAAAAAATTATTCAAGCAGTTATATTAATGATGTAACAGTGGAGAGTGGGTGTTGTTAGGTTGGTGCTCACAGTCAAAAAAACATTATCTGTGCGATTAATTTCAGCCTGCTGACAGTATGCATATCAAGTATGTGTCTTTGTGCAGTATTATCAGTTTATTTAACCGTCACCCTATCAGAATCACATGGTCCCTCCCTGTGCCTCGCCCCAACACGGACCCTGGTGTGCCCCGCGTGACCTCTCCCATGATTAAGGCACGGTGTGAACGTGGGTGTTGAGAAACACATGAGTCCCCCGATATAAATATATCCCTGCTGCATATAGACGACTGTCTGCTGGCCCAGTTCTGGGGAAAGCGGACACCGCGGCTGGGTCAACACGGGGGACTTTCCCGTCACGGCCCCTCTTCGCTCGGGAATAGCAAGTCATCAAACCTGGCATCCCGAGCAGCTAGTACCTCGCTCGACACACAAATGGGGTCAGAAAACATCCTCGGCTCGGCAGAGGTTTGCCTCAGTGTGTGTGTGTCAGTGTGTGTGTGTCTGTGTGTGTGTGTGTGTAGAATCAATGAGGCATGCTAATGCATATAGTGCAGTAACTATGCAATCAAAGTGGTCCCTGTGGTACTGCAAAGCATTATATTCCCCTGCAGCCATGTTTTTATATCTCACACACACCCTCCAAAATACATCTCCTACAGGTGAACATCTAATACTTCTACTAAATGAAAAGTAGTAATACAACAGTTTAGAAATACTGTCACAATGTCCTGCATTCAAAGTGTCATTAAAGTAAAAGTACTCATTCTGCACAACGGCCAATTTCAGGACCATATATGTGATATTAGTGAATTATAATTATTGATGTATAACCGAGTTTATCCCCTTAATGTTTCAGCTTGCAGTTGTTATTTGAAATTATTTTCATATTTAATTGTTTACAACATAGAGTCCTACTGCTGTGTATCTTGTGTATTTCACCAAGGGAAGGTTTTACCTTAATCTAATTACATGATCAATTATTTGATTTTTGTTTTGCTTTTTTACAGTTAAGAGTACAATATTTAGTAGTAGATTAGCAGACAATGGAGATACTCAGGTAAAGTACAAATGCCTCAAAATTACTCTTAAATAAAAGCTCTTAAAGTGACTAAGTTACTATCCACTAAACATCCAAAAACTATGTATTTTTGTAATGTTATTATCAAGTCCAATAAGATCAGCGTTGTATTTCTCTGACATACTCCCCTCAGACGAGGCAGTGGGTGTTTGTGCGTGTGTGTTGGCGTGCATGAAAGCAGTCGTACGCGTGGGCAGGCGTTGCATAAACATCACATTCTGCATAAACATTGGTCCAGGCACTTGATTGAAAGCAGCGATGGAAGCCTGGAGGGAAAAAAGCAGAGCGGGGGAGAAGGTCAGCTCCCCCGTCGTACCTCGTTCACACCGGATTCCCTTTAAAGGAACACACACCCGAATAAACAAAACATGTTGGTCCAGCTCTAGATGCAACATGCAGATTGAAGTAACAAAAGCATCACATTGCTGCATCCCTATTATCAAAACATGCTGTAGTACAAATTCACTATAATATGCAAAGTGATATTTCTTGCAGCAGGAGGGCAGAAGTACTCGGATGTATTACTCAAGTACAGGTAGCAATGCTTACTTGTAAAGATACTCTGTTACAAGTAGAAAGAGTTGTGCATTTTACTTAAACGTACAAAAGAGTACTTTATTACATTCCACCACTGGTGTAATCTGACACATCATGGCGGCCACTAGGTGTCTCTGCTGCTCCTGTGTTGCGTTCAGGGTAGCTGAGGCCAGGCCTGCTGCCACGGTAACACAGATACTGCGAGGCGACGCCCGCTCATTCATTATTCATGAGGGAGTGCCTTGAGTCGGTTTCCCCGGTAACAGCTGTTCAATCTGCTTTGAGAGGAGGGGGAGATTCCCCGCGTCCTGCCCTGACGCTTCCTGCTGACGGCAGATCTGTCTGAGGCCTCGGTATCAGGTTCCTCTGGATTAGTATTCCAGGCCGGCCCTTTAGACCTCATTGCTCCATTACACTTAGTGCTACTTACATTTGATGAGGGGATGGTAGGGACTGAATGTAGTTCAGTTGTACAATTCATTTCAGTTAATAGATCAATGAGAGCATTTGCAGTAGCCCGGGACACTGCAGCTCCAATGTGCACACAGGGAAAGAGTTAGGACAAATACCATGATAACAGGTTGTTTTTAGAATTGAATTATTTTGGTTCTAGAGTAAAAATAATAGTTACTGATGGTCTACTTACTGGCTTTATTCACAGCTTTGAATAGCCTTTCACGCTTTTAATCAATGGATGAAGGAAGCTTTTAATTCAAGAGATATTTAAACATACAAGAATCAAGGTGGGTTGAAAACAAATCTGAATTCAAGGTCGTCAAAATGGCTTTTTCCGGAGCTCATGGTCCTCTTATCTTCGTCCTTGTTATGTTTTGTAAATCAAAGGATGGCTAATTATTTGAGGGACTGTGGAGCTTTTAATGGTCCTACTTAATTGTCCAGACAATAGTTTTTTATATCGTATTGCAACCCCTAATGGATATTGCTCAATACCGTATTTTAGTAAGTTTTCCTACATAAAAGTATTAGTAATAATGGCAACAATGTTTCAAATAAATAAGCTCAATCGGAATGAAAAAGAATAAAAACCTAACCGATTGATCATGTAATAAACTGTAAGGGGGTTTAAATCCCAGTTGGTAAGAAACAACAACATTTCTCTTATTTGAAGCAGCCTGAAAAGTTTGGTAACTGAACCTTGTTTACAGGAAACTGAAGGGAAGCCCGGTGATAACAGATGGAAAGGCATCTGCAGTATGGGACACTCTTCTGGCTGGCACTCGTGACGAGGGGGAAAACTGAATTCCCCGCTGCGCTGGCGTCATCATGGCCCGCTCTCACATCCTGATATTTATTCCAGTGGCAGGGCCAGGAGCCAATCATACCACTCCATTTCCTTTCTCATCAAAACACCCTGATTATCTCGACTACCTACAGATCAACACATGACCACAGGCAGGAAAGAGACAAAAGGTCAAGTGATGTCTGGACCCCTTGTCTTTGCAGCAGCACATTTATCTTCTTTTAAAATGCCCCATAATGCTGATTAAAGGTAAAAGGTTAGCCCTGAAGCTAGCGACAACTCCACCTGAAGCTAACTCAAGTTGGACCAGCTATTCTCACTACATGATAACAATGACAAATGTAACATTTGTGATATTGGGCTATATAAATAAACATTGATTGATTGATTGATTGATGATAAGCGGCTCCTTCTGATCCGGACAGGCCTAGAAAGGGTTAACAGGTGTGAGATGGATCTAACCCAACCAATCCTTTATTGTCTGTGGGTTGTAATAAAAACATTAGCAGTATTTCAGCTTTTATCCTGTCCACTGTAAGCACTATAACCATTAGGATTCAGTTGTTGGCTTTTTGTGTCCAGACGGTAATGATGCAGCAGAAAACATTCCATTAATACACAACTGCAAGCAATCTCCAAAGTGTGCGACTGCCAGCTCCAGCTCCAGCTCCACCCCCCCCCTCTCCATCCTTCTCTCCACACTGCAGTCACTTCAGGACTCAAACAGTAAAAACTGCTAAATCACTGCCGCTGTGTTTTCCTTTAACGGCTCAGGAGGGGCAGTGAGCGGGGGTGCAGCTGTGACGGACAGCCGGTCAGCCCCTGACCCTTAATGCAAATCCAACAGTTTGATAAGAAAGGAGGGATATTTGTCAACCCTTTCTCTTTATACAGCCCTGAGCATCAGTCATGTGTTGATCATACTGACTCAGCGACAAGTTCAATTTACGTCTGCCTGTCTGTGGTGCCTCGTACATATCCTGCACCTCCTCCACTCTGACACCCCCCCCTCAGGTCTCATTGGTTAATCTGGCCAACTCCCAGCGCTCTATTGATGGGACCCTGCTGATGCCTCCTCCCTCCTCTTTAAGATTGATGTTGCAACTCGATTGGCCATCAATCACGGGACATGCTCAGTGGGCTCCCGGCCCCGGCATGAAGCTAAGAGCAGACCAATTCATTACAGAGCTCTGCTTCCACCAGTGAACCCCACCCACATGACTGATTAGAAGAGCATCAACAGGACTGATAGCCGTGCCTGTTCCAGGGAATTGTGCAACTGTGGGTGGAAAATACATCAAACAGATGATTGATAAAGTGAATTGGGAACCGAGTAATTAGATAACCACAACTTGTTGAAGTTTGAGGGGATTTAACACAAAATACTTTGGCAAGAGGAATGTTTATTTGCTTTGCAGTTGGTATTTTTTTCTCAGCTTGTCTGTTAAGCCAAAGATCTTGCTGCTTTCTGACAAGAGAAAAGTGAGTCTCGTTTTCAGACAGACAGTGAAGGATGGGACGAATAAAGAACATGTAGTCCTGCCAGGTAAGACGTATCGGTGTGCGTAAATGAAGTCACTTCTGAAAACAAACACGGAGTAATCTTTTTCTTTCTGATAACCACTCTTGCTCTGGGAGGCAAGTGAAGGTCAGCCAGTTGCAGTAACAGTGTGCAGGCCAAATCATTTCAGATACTCCGACTGTTCCATATTGAGCTCGAGAGGTGCAAATCATTTGCCAGGCAATTGGCTGCCAAAAGTAAAAAAGCGCTTGACATCACTTTGTTTGTTTGTTTTGTGTTGACTGTGGGCCCTCGGAAGATGAGTTGGCATGGAACAAATGGGGTCCTAATAATACACCAGATTCCAGATGGGCAAACTGCCACGCTGTTTCTTGACTCTCCTTATTGGACAGGGAAGCATGCACGCAGGGGAAAGAGTAAACTAATGCAACCTAATCTCAGCTCAAGAAACACACCTGCAAATGGGCCAGCCGCAAACAGAACGGTAACACACTGCACTCACAGCAGCACTGCAGTATAAAGCTCTGTTACAGCGTTTTATCACAAGAGCAATTGCAACACGGCGTGCACCATCACCATCACTCTTTCTCTCCCATTTCCATTTCCTGTGGTTTGCCCACCACCGCCTCCGTCCAAAACATGCCCCCACAGCCAAAGCATATACTGTCTGTTCTCCGGGGAAAAGTGCTGACTCACAGCACAAAGGCAAGCCTATCTTGCTGCGTGGGCACCGAAGCACAGCGCAGGACGCCACCAGGAGCCAAGTCAACCGGCACCGGGCCATTTCATTCTGCCCAGCTCCATCACTGCAGTGACCTGGCCAAAATCACTGCAGCAGTGTCGAGATGTATCGCTGAACAAGTACAATACAGTGACCCAAATGTTGTGTACAATGGAAATGAGGTTATGGTTGACCAACAGCTGTAAACACTGCAGAATGTAACCTTGTGGAGACATTTTAAATACCATACAGGATTCAATGTAAACTGAAGTGGAGATGTATAGCATTTTTATAAACTCTAAAAAGGCTGCACTATTTGGAAAAAATAGCTAAATGCAATTTTGACTGATATTGCATTAGTGATATGATTTGTGTTATGATAAAGAAAACGAAAAATTGTGATTTAGGGATCAAGCATTTCTAAAAACTCACTTCTCTTCACACTCCAACAGCATTCTCCAACCTGTGCGTGAATGGTAGCCTGAGGTAACTTGTTGTGGTATTCATGTTATGAACCACTAAAAGATTGATAGACTCCTTCTCCTTACCTTTGTTGTTGTAGACATCTAGGTAGTTGGGTGCGGAGAAGATGGTGATAAGGGACGGGAAGCCAGTGGTCTGACTCTTTCTGTACATGCGATATCTGGTAAAGAGGAGAGGTGAGTATTAGCAAACATTAAACATTTACTCCTGGATTCCCATTGGTGCTCAACCCTCGGGATATGATTAGCAAATATGTCATTGTGTGTTTTTCTTGATGCATCAGCCAGGGGGGCAGCTTGGCATCGCCTCAGGAGAGTAAATCTCTGAGTTACAGGTTAAACATGCGCTTAAACTCAGCATTCAAACTCTGATCGGCCCTGCTGTGTCCAAATATACCATGCTGTGAATTTGGAATGGGTCAGAGCCTTTAGGTAAACTGTCCAGACTTGGATGATTTGTTTGCTGCACCACACCTTCCTTCTATTTATAAGGATTTTAGAAAAGATGCAGAGAAAACCTAGTCTGGGGGCAGCAATCTCACCTGAGACCATGTCCCATGTGACCAATGCTCTGGGAGGGCAACTGTAAACAACCTCGCTTAGAGGGAGATCAGCGACATCTCCACCATCCTCCGTTCCAGGACGAACCGTGATGAATAACAGACGAGCAGCCTGGTGGTGGTTGATTTTGATAGTAAAGTTTTTACATATGTACTGCAATCATGAACATATCTAGACCTGATCCACCAGATAATGTCCCAAGTTCATATTAAAGGAGCCCTATTATGCTTTTTTCCATTTCCTATAGTGTGTTATATAAGTTTTTGTGCATGTCAATCCAGAGGGAGAAAGGAAACGCCTTCATTGTTTTGCGCGAGTGTAACATAATGAAATCACTATGTAACATTCACACTTCTATTGGCTAGTGCTCAAACATCGTATGTGATAGGCATCTCTACGTTGTCGACCAATCTCAACAGAGCCGGCCCAACTAACCAATCAGAGCAGACTGGGCTCTGGTTTCAGACAGAGGGTGAAAAGAGGTGCTGCAGGACAAGCAGAATGAGAAAAAAGAGCTTTTTTGAACAGTAGAGGCAGAAAAACAAACCTGAAAATTCCCATATGCCCTCTTTAAAAACTGGCTATATAGTGACATAACTTCACAATCAAACTTTTTAAACCTTACTCACTAAAAAGGTTTGCATGAATCATTGTCTTCATATCACATATGGCCGACTAACCCCTAATGCTAGATACATTTTAATGACTTGGATCAAGTCGACTTCTCTCAAAGTTCACACTGCAGTGAAGCGGCTCTCCAGACAGGTGCGAGCAAACACACAGCGCGCCGGGGAAGCTTCTGGCTTAATACCCTGTTCTGGGAGCAGACAGAATACAAACTCACCCAGCATCCTGCGCTTCATGGGCCCGGATGACGGATAATAAGTTATTGTGTTGTAGAAAGTCACAGACTGCAGGGTAGCTGTAGAATAAAAAGGGAGAAACATTTAGGTGTACTCATGCATCAAGAGAAATCCCAGCAAGATCAAGAAGAAACATCAATAGAAATAACTAAATAAGTCATGGGTTTTATGGATTGTGTTCAGAGACACAGTAAATATCCAACACATGGTTCAGGCTAAATGTAATGTAAACCATCTGTGGCTGTTACCTTGAACGCCTGGCTCTTAGTGAAGGCTTTGTATCAATTTTAAACTTGAAATTTAAAACAGATCTTAAAAGATGTTGCCAGCAAAGTTACGGTGACTCATATCTTCAATAATGTGCTTTTAACCAAGCCTTCATACTGAAAGAGGAGTAGGTGTGATGCTTCTCGGATTTTACTTGAGAATACAATTCAAAAAATGATAAGAGTGACACATCATCCTGAGCAGACTGTTTCTTCAAGTAATAAGGCGATCACTGGGGAGTGTTAAAGCACATTTTAAACTCATGCTTTTCTTTTCAGTCTGCGAGCAGAGAGACTTCAAATCTCTCTGCCAAATATCAAACTGCAATATGGTTTCAGATGTTTCGTCAAATTCAAGGGCATTTATTAAGTAATATCTCCTGATCCGAAGACAAGTCACGATTAAATCGGCATCACCACAAGACTTCTTTTGGAGTGTCTGGGAACAAACGTGATTAAAACCTCAGCGGGTCCAGGGTTTTTGGATCGTGGGATGCTGTGTAATGAACGGAGTGAGTGACAGCTCAAAATGAATGACTGACACCTTTGCATCACATCTGCAACACTTAGTGAGTGTGGGAGGATTTCTTTAGCGACAATAATGGGGGCTAACACTCTAGTTGTTTTTGCGTTTTCATCTCACGATTTCTAACTGAATAAAATAAAAGTCACCGTGTAGCTTTGACAGAAATAGGGATCACATTCTAGGGGACCTCCATTACAATGTGTCATTTTACCAAGGGTTCTGAAAGATTGAATTCTCATCCTTTACATTGTTTTTTACTCCTCTTCATAGCCGTTTAAAAGAGCTCTCAAATCAATCTTCTGACCAACCAACTATTTCCTTATAGACTGACTATTTATCAACTAATGCTATTATGGCTATTATGATTATCGCTTCTTTTGTTTTGGTCATATTTGTGTTCATTGCCTTCTTAGTTGAAACGATATCCCATGTGTGTATGCCCCTAATCTGTTACTGATGATGTTTGTGTATACTTGCACTTATTATGAAGTGTTTTGCTTCCTCGATGTTTAGATGTGTGAGACTGTTTTAGCAATATCATTTGTATAATGGATGCATTTCTTGTTGTAGAACTTAGGCTACGCAATATCTGAGCGCTTAACTATGTCTAAAATGATTGACGGACACACGCAGAATTTAGTTATTACATTATTGTAGCTATTTCCTTTAATGTGCTGCCTTAATTGCCCCTTTTCAAGCCCTTGGAGAGATGTCCGGCTCTTTTCCTTGCCTATACATTGTATCTTTCTTGCATTTGTCATATGTAAATGAAGAAACAGACAATCAAGCATAATATTGTGTTCAAAAAGAGTTATGATTTTGTATTACGTTCTGTAATCCTAGCTCGACGCCCCCTGCTAAATCAGAGCGCAACAATGAGCAACTCCCACATGCAGCAATCAAAAGCAAACTATACATTTTGGCTTCCGACCTCTCAGGGGAAGAACTGGGGGATTTGTTTTCTTCTGCAATAAAACCGGCGATTTAAATAGCTTTTTAGACATTATTCTGTCTCTAAAATCTACACAATAAACACTGAGGTTTCCAGATGCTAGAGGAAGTTAGATCGACAGAGTGAACTATTAAGGGAGCTTTATTGCACCTAATGTAAAGTCCTTCGGGGCAAGCCTGTAATAAAGAGTTATATAAGCAAATGACCCTTAATTTGACTGGCCTGCTTTTATATACATAGTCAAATACCATGCTTTGCTGCAGAGGTAGACTGTTCTAAGTGTGAAAACCATTGTGGGAAACTGAAATGGAAAGGTTCATTACCAATGTTGGATCATGTAGACATGAGAACACATGCACTCACAACAAACATCTGCTGGGAGCGATGAGGAAAGGAGAAGAAATAAGGAATACATGTTTTATTTCTCACTTGATTTCCTGCAGCAGATGTAGAGACATGCCATATGGAGCCATTCGGCAGACAAGATACATTTTGGCCGAGTTTGCTTTTCTGAGTTTAGAGCGTCTTCCATCTGTCCGACAACAGGGCGCAGATGTTAATTCGCTTCTTGGACAACATGAGCAGTTGTGGAAGAAGTCACTTAATCAAAGTAGCACTATTTGTGTTCCCTTAAAATGTAAGCTTTTAATTTTGGTTGAATATCGATAGCTTGCATAATGAAAAAAGATGCATGGGGAAATCACTTGAGGCTGATTCATGTGTGCTGCTCAGTGGAGGCTAAAATAAAAGCAACCACATTCGAAAACATGTGCAATTTCATGCCTGAGTTGCGTTTGTAAAAGAGTTACGAGCGTGCCTACGGTGCAGGGGGAAATGATTGGTTGCTGCAAGACAGAAGCAACAAAGAGGCTGATGCTTTTTGGGGAGGGGGGGTTTGAGGAATGGCTCTCTCTCAGTCTGGCTTAAACACGCTCGTAAATCCTGAATGCCAGTGTGATGCCAATTAGTGACCGTGCCCCGGGGCAGATGGAGTGAGGGACACTGATGAAAACAAGACTGCAGAGGAATTTGGAGCAAAAAATGTCAGAAGGCTGACCAGGAGGAAGGTAAAACACAAACAGACTAATCAGTCGTTTGAGGTAAAAAGGCCACATTGCATAACATTTCTCTTCGGGGAAAGTGATACAAAATAAAGCGCCTATTGTGGATCTGCAGTATGACGTCTCACCAAAACATCCACAGCAGAATTGGGAGCAGATTTCCTAAGTATGGACATTAGAATACTATTAAAGGTTATGAAACACCTGTTATTGAAAAGGATAATGCAGAGGAGCTTAAGGAAATGTTCCGAGTGCTCTGCCGGCCTGCTCGAGGTGAAGTGAGAACTGTTTCGGCCGTAATGAGCGGAGGGAGCGCCGAGCACATTGAGAGAGGACTGTGCCTCGTGGTAATGTGCCAGTTCATTACATTTTGTGACAGCGTGAGCAGCCTGCTCCCAGCATTCCCTCTGCTTGTTCAGTTACTCAGCTCAATTGAAGGTAATGTGGGTTACACAAACAGAAGAGTCAGTATGAGGAGGAGACTTCAGGACACTCTGTGTTCTAACATCTCACGGTTGAAGAATTGCAGGGGTAAGAAAAGAAAAGAGAAGCAAGATGGAAATTTGGCAGCAAGGCTTCTTGATTTATCAACTCTTTGACAAGACGATGGTTTTATTTTCTAGTCTGGTTTGCGATTACTAAAGTACTTTATCGCCTTACGCTCTTGTCTTCATGCTCACATTTTCAGTCTTTTAAATAATTAGCTGTATTGAAAATGTCTGCAGCAATGAGGTTTCCACAGATAGCCAAAGTAATGAGAAGAAGAGTTTAGGTACTCTTTCATGTACTAATATTATGTTTTGAATTGCAGTGTCCGATATAGAACGACATGTTGGAGTCATAAAGATAGAAGATTGCAGCTGTTTTTTGATACAATACAGCATAAATAAAATCTGTTGTCTATCCGGCTGTTGGCTGGAATCCTTTGTGCATTTTTCCGAAAGAAAATCAAGAACACAGAAATGTGATAAAAACGCTCTTTTATCACACAGACTACTCGCCTGTAGAAGTAGGAGCAGCCTCGCACTGTGTTGTGTGTGAAATGCTCTTGGCTCTTCTCGTTCCCAAAGTCCTCCAGGGGGTCGGACCACAGCAGATCGCACATCGGTCCGTATGCCGGGGGCTCTTTGAATCTGTCTAGCTGTGGAAGAAGAAGTCAGGACTCCTGTCAGCCTCTTTCACTGGAGAATTACACATGGAGTGTGCAAACTCAGTACCTAGAAGGCCTTTTTGGTAACACTTTATATTAAGGTACACAAATTAACCATCAACTAGTTGTTAATTAGCATGCATATTAGCAGTATAATGGCTCTTTATTAGTCATTATAAAACACTTATTAATGCCTTATTCTACATGACCATATTCTACAAGTAATAAGCCATTAGTTGAGAGTTTTTCCTCAATAACCCTCTAATTAGTGCTTATTTATTGCAAGTAAGGAAGTTGTTGTCCATGAGTTTTGGTCTTAATATGCGCTGCTTAATATGGGCCTAATAAGGCAGTAGTAGCACAAGAATAGTAATTCTCCCATAATAACACTTAACAAATGTGATCTATTCTTATGGAACAAGACATGAAACTACAAGTGTTAATTGTGTCTAAATAACTCAAAATTAGGTATTTATATTTTATAATATGTTTTGGGGTATTGACAGTTCAGCTACCAATAGCAAGGGGATATTGACCTGTATGTTTCATATTTGCCCATTTATATTTGTGTAAAATGTGTACTGAAGGTTAGACCCGGGTCCAGGAAGTAGGAGAACGTGAACGACACTGCTACTAATTTTCCCTTTGCAACCTGAAGAGTAAAAGGGTCAAGTCCGTCAGAAAGCAATGACTGTAAGTGTAAGTGTGAGCCTTACACTTACATTGTAAGGATTAGTAACATGTATTGTGTTTATGTGATGACATGTGGAGATGTTTAAACTCAATGAGAAAATGCGTTAGCATTCGCGCTAGTGTTAGCATACACGGTAGCGTTAGCATACATGCTAGCGTTAGCCATAGTAGCCTGTATACATGCTTATTGTACAGCTAGCATTAGCTATGTTTACCTTGTTTACACTAAGCGGTCCTAATGTGTTCATCTGTGTATGTTACACTTGCATGTATGAGATCATTAAGTGCCTTGTAACTTCTTTTTTTTATAGTTTCACTCCGTTTGAATGTCACTGGACTGCAAATAAGTCAATAAAGGAGCATGGCTGCTCATTCCCTGGCTCTCAAAAGAGTTTGGCTGGTTTTTTAATCTATGTTCACACTGAGACAACACAGAGAGAGAACAGTACACATATTGTGTAAGAACATACAAGCAGGTCACACAGTATGATCACAAATACATAAACTCTGTTAAAAATCAGTTTTTATTAAAAAATACAGGCTGCATATATGTTCTCAGCCTTGGAGAAACTTGACATGTTTTGGTACATGTATGTGTCTGAACCTCTCTTCAGTGGTTCAATAATATAACAGATATTTCAACGTGTGCCTACTTTGTTCATGTACTGTTGAGGTTAATTTCAGTAGTTGTGTGCTATAATGTATTTACAAAGTGTGAAGAGGAGGCAACTTTAGAATAGGGAACCTGTTCTGGTCAATTAGAGTCAAACTACTAGCTTATTGGTTATGAACAAGACTTCACTTTAGAATAGGGAACATATTTTTAGATAGAAATACCTAATTAGAGTCAAACTACTAGCTTATTGGTTATGAACAAGACTTCACTTTAGAATAGGGAACATATTTTTAGATAGAAATACCTAATTAGAGTCAAACTACTAGCTTATTGGTTATGAACAAGACTTCACTTTAGAATAGGGAACATGTTCTTAGATATAAATAGCTAATTTTGAGTTGTTTAGACTTAATTAACACTTATAGTTTCATGTCTTGTTCCATAAGTATAGATCATATTTGTTAAGTGTTATTATGGGAGAATTACTATTCTTGTGGTACTACTGCCTTATTAGGCCCATATTGGGCAGCGCATATTAAGACCAAAACTCATGTAAAATAAGTTCCTTACTTGCAACAAATAAGCACTAATTAGAGGGTTAATGCGGAAAAACTCTCAACTAATGGCTTATTACTTGTAGAATATGGTCATGTAGAATAAGGCATTAATAAGTGTTTTATAATGACTAATAAAGAGCCAATACTGCTAATATGCATGTTAATTAACAACTAGTTGATGGTTAATTTGTGTACCTTAATATAAAGTGTTACCGCCTTTTTTTGTTAACATAATGTAAATGACTTTGCTTTCAGATGAGGATAGCTCTTTCTTGAACAAAAGCTAGTGGATTACTGGACAGGTACCGTGATGGACACTTCAATAGAGCAAATTCTATTATGCATGCCCTCTGATTGCAGCCACAAAACCCATTTGGAATGATTGAATTAGATAGAGAGCAGGATCGGACTCTTGAACCCGTTTTAATCAGAGTGAGACACATCTGGGGGAATCACTTCGTACACTGCAACTAGGATTGTTATTTTCATGGCATATCATGCTAAATCTAACAGTTTTTTTCGTCATTAACTTTTAACGAATACAGAAAATATATGAGGCGGACAGGAAGTTTCAATAGTATTTAAAAAGCCATTAAGGGGGTGCTTCACCCACAAAGTATAACATATCAGTTAATCACCTCATGTTACCTAGAGTTGTTGAAGAAATTTTCTCACATGCCTCCATGGGGAATTAAAATGTATTAATCTACATTTAGTGGTTCTTTATCCATGGTGGAAGCAAACAAAGAAAAATTTGTTTTTTCTTAGTTTGCCCATGCATGTACTTTGTTTAAAATACAAACATGTTTTACCCAGAATATAAATCAAAATAAACAAAACAACATATTTTATTATTGTATGCCAAAAGCCCTCTAGTAAAAAAAAAGAAATACTAGAACTAAAAGGTAATTTTGGGTGAGAAATTAATAATGAAATTATCATTTTGTGGGCAAAGTATTCCTTTAACGGATACTTTCATTATAATAACACACAAAACCTGCAGTGTAATGAAATGAAAGATTAAATGGTCTCAAATCAGACACATACTTTCCTGATGTCGTCAAGATTTGTGATTTCTGGAGACAGCCCTCCGTGTACACACAGGAACTGCTGGTTCATAAGTGCAGCCAGGGGAAGGCAGTCGAAGGCGTCCATACATGCGTCATATATCCGCTCTGAATACTTAATTCTACCTGTCATGGGGGGAAACAGGGCAGGGAGAGGAGAGCATGCCAAGTTAAACAACGCCGTTCTCATACATCGGGGCAGTGTGCTAGACTGGGACGGAAAGGCTCCCCAAAGTGCCAGAAAACTTCCCGAACATTTACAAAAAAAAGGCACAATTTCACAGCTCTTTTGTGTTGTTTTTCCCCCTTCTCCATCTGCGTCCAACAGAAATACTTCTCTGACATGTGTAAATATCGAAAAGGGCAGGATTCTGAGTGAATCCCGCAGCAGGCCAGAGGGCGCTTTTATTAAGAGAGCGTCTGAGGTTGAAGGCCGAACTGGATGCATAATCACTTGCACTCAATTTAGATCAAAAGGGTAAGAAAGTGCCAAAGCATTACTTACATTCCTGCTTAAATGTGAAATACTCTGTTAAATGTCTACATTCATGATTCCCACGCAGCAAAAACAGTGTTTTGGGGTAAAGGATCTTTAAGGCCCACAAGTACAGCACACACTGAAACAGAGAAGCACAAAGAGGATCGGTTAGCTCGTCATCCTTGAATAACATCGGAAACATGAAGCATAAAGTCAAGTCAATTTCACAGAGTACAAGACATTCTGCTTATAATGAAACATTCATGCGGGACATTTTGTGGCTTTCTGCAAGAGATGACAATGCTTCAGAGGAATCATCAGAGGACAGGCACACCCCATTACAATATATTTTATTAATAAAAGTATAGTTTCAGGCGATGAGACGGCTGCAAATGCATATCTAAGTAAATTCCAACCTGCAGTCACAGATTAAATATACGTATTATTCTTTATATTAAAAATCCCTGTCTACAGTATACAACCCTCGGATACACCGTGACATTTGCTATCCATGCAGATCCATTTGAAGTTATTACAAAAGCCCCTTACCACTTGCAATATGTGCAGCCTGATTTGATCTCTGCTCAGAGTAAGCTATTAATAAACACAGTGTGTCACAGTTGATTAGGCCCCCGTGAGGACAGAAACAGATACTCACTTCAATACTGAAATACCCTCTGTCAACGTAGTCCCCCAGGAAAAGGTAGCGCGTGGATGCTGGTGATCCTCCCACTTCAAACAGCTTCATCAGGTCAAAGAACTGCCCATGGATGTCTCCGCACACTGGGATAGGAAACAGAAAGCACATCAGGATAATTATTTTTAAAACACATGAAAGCTGAGAGAGGCTATTTCCATATTTTCCTGTCAGATGTTAAAAGATAAAAATGCATGACATCCCAGTAAACCTGGAATTCTGCAACATAGAAACAATTGTTCATATGTGAAGTATGCTGAAAAGACTATTCACGATATCTGGTAGTTGATTTCATTGTAATCAGGTTATTTCTTTAAACAATGTGAATATTATTTATATAAACTGCTCATTTGAGACTGAAAAAGGCAGCGTTTTAGATGGATCACTGTTCCCTGACGGCTCCACAGCCCACGCTTACTGCAGGACATTATGCAAAGAACAGACCTGAATACAATACAACATGAAAAACAATACTGGTTTGGACAAGAAAGGCCAAAAAACAGAAGCATTTCTTTACTCAATGTTCACTGAAATGGGGCATTTAGTCTGAATCTATTCTACTCAAAGAAAGATGGGAACATTATTGCAAATAACAGTCCCAGGTAGTTATGCTTGTTAGGCTTTTAGTGTGGTGTGATGTTTGGTCAGTGAAAAACCACATGATATAATATGCAAGTATGAATCCAGATTTTGTTCCTGCATGGCCATTTCTTGCCTTAAATCTCTTCAGAAAGATATTTTAGTCCACCCTCTTTACTTCAAAATGAAAAGAACAAGAACTGGCTCAAGTGTGCATTTTCATACCTCGCTTTTCCACAACATCCTGGAAAGAAACTGGAAAGCTTTCCGTCTCTCACTGGTTAACCGTGATTACAAATCTGCTTGTCACAGCAATAAACAGATAATTGCTGAGAACACGTTTTGTCTAACAGCACTGACTGTCTGTTACTCCCCAGGAAGTTAAATCCACGATATTGCTGGTGTCATGTCCCTCCTGTGCAGATACTAACAGCGCTGCAGCAGCAGCTGTTAAAGAGCGCCGGGGGAGTGTTCGGGGATAAACCCGTCCACGTAAGAAATCGGGAAGCGCAAATCACTCTACCTGGACGATGTGACCCTGTGCTCCGGTGCTCTCTGGGGGGCACGAGGGGAGCAGAGATTTGCTGCTTAGCCTCCACAGACTGACAGGGTGCACGGAGGTCGCCTGATTTAAAGGCCTGGTTGGTTCAAGAGGTCGGATACACCTGAAGCTTTTATTTATGAGAGACAAATCTCCTCATTGTTGGATCCATTATGTAATAATTGAAATGGGATTATAAATGCAGAATTGTAAAGATATATAATTTCAAATTAGCATTACTGTATAATGAAATTTACTCATCCAGCTGGGAAGAGACCAAGGGGTAGACCTAGGACCAGGTGGAGGGATTATATCTCTTCGCTGGCCTGGGAGCGCCTTGGGATCCCCCAGTCAGAGCTGGTTGATGTGGCCAGGGAAAGGAAAGTTTGGGGCTCTCTGCTGGAACTGCTACCCCCGCGACCCGACCACGGATAAGCGAGAGAAGATGGATGGATGGATGGATGGATGGATGGATGAAATTTACTAATTCATGTGGTGACTGATTAGGGCTGTACAAATAATTGAAATGTTATTCAAAACGTAATATGGACAAGTGCAGAATTCAAATAGTAAGTGCAATATTGGTTAAAGGAGCTGCAGAGTATAGCATAAAAACAGTATTCTACATACTTAATAAAACATCATTGTTTGGTACAGATCCTTTTGAAATAATACCAAGATTTTTTTTTTTAATTAATTTGTAAATTAAGGTTAAAAAAAACGTTTATTTTGATATCTGTCAAAATCATCACAATTAGTATTTCCTTTCCAAAACGTGCAGCGCTTTAACGGAAAAAGGTAATCTTTATTTCACTGTTCAAATTGAAACAGGTACCAGTCATTTCTGAATTGGGAGATGCATGCACACCTTGCTGTGTGATGGCTGCACGTATTCAGGCTCATGTCCTCGCTGTATGTTTATTATGGACCTGTGACATATGGTGCGCCGTCATTCAGCATGAGCTTTTGTTTGGGAAATGCGAGGCAGTGCCTGAAAGCTCAACCCAAACAATATTTAACTAAAACAGCTGGTGTATAAGCTGCAAGCTGAAAAGAAGATCCAGTTCTATCACCATAAATATGTGGCAGCTGTAATGATCTTTGCAGAAGGTGTCTTTGTTTCAGTGTCAGTACACAGGCACACATTCAAAATCGCCGGTATTGCTTGCAACTAAAATCATAAATGCTGACCGAACTCACAGCAAATGTTTTTCTGTGATTGTTTGTTCTGCTGTATTTCTATGCTGCTTAAAATCAATAAACAAACAAACGGGTATTATATACACAGGTATTTCTTCCAGGAAAAGGGAGCAGAGGTTGGTTAATTCTTCAAGTTCAATCTTACAGAAACTTGACCCGATGTTATTTCACACATGAATACAAATGACATATTAAAATGAAAAGAAACATAATTATTACGCAGTGAAGAACTAGTGAGTTGAACCTTTTGGAAAAGTGTATTCTTGTGCTCTCCATGTTCTTTTCCCACCTAATATTGCCATGCTTTTAATGCTTTGTTAAAGGACGGTTTCAAGCCTCAATTGTTTTTCCGTGATGAAATGCTTATGTCGTCGATAATACAGTTCGCCATGTCCTATCTGTGGGACTTCTGAAGCAAGGGAGACAGGACTCAAAGAGACACGAGGAGAGCTGGAGCTTTGATGGCAAACACTGACGGTTTATTTGGAGCTTCAGCCGGAGAATTCACAAGACATGTCACGGGCCACGGTCTGACCACACGGTAGAGATGCCACAATCAATTCTGAAGACCCCTCCTGTAGCTCCAGGTTTTAACTAGTTCAGAGTGTAATAATCAACATTCTTCAATAGATAGACTAAACAGCCGAGGGACACTGAATCACAGTTGTTGTCGCTTATGGCTCGGGGTCATCTACACCCCGAGAAGGATGTGTTCCAGTTGTCCCACAACAATAACTATCTCTGACGGAGAGTTGCCCGGTCATAAACTGGCAACAACATCAACATGCTTGGGCAGCCCCTCCTTATGGGAGATAGCGGCTGCTCAAGGTTGGGCATCTGCGTCAGAGGGCAAAAGGTAAACATGTATACAGAATTATTCCCTGACACTATCCACTGGTATTGTAGCAACATCTGGCAAGACATTTGAAGAACTAAATCTATGCAGTCAGTGTGATCAAAACAGCAATTAAAACTAACTCAATAAGCGACTTCCAGCGGTTCCAGTTTGGTAAACAAGTTTAAAAAGTCACCTTCTTCGCCTGACAGCTGTAATAAACAACACCAATCAGCGACATCAAACCAACGTCACGACAGAGGCAGCGATGATAAGCATCCACGTTTGATGTGAACTCATCTATTCTTCAAGCAAACGGCTAATTACGTAATTAAAAACATGGCAAATAGATTGAAATCTAATTTAAAAAAGGACAGGGAGCTATTTTCCCGAAGCTTTGTGTTGCTTTGTGAACTGTATCTAGGAGGAATAACTACAATAGGAGCCTGTGAAAAAGTCTTTCAGAGAGATACCCAATTAGTGGGAGCTGGAGGACAACGTTGAGAGCAATTATCTCGAGTTACGAGCCTCGCGAGGCAGCGCTGAGAATCAGCTCTCCTTGATTGCATCGTAAACCTCCACTTTACCATTTGTCTTTTATTAAACCCACACTGTGTAACTTTTAAATCCACAGTCGGGACCAACTTCAAAAAGAGAGTTTTTTATGTCCAATTCGAAAAATGTCCTTTTGCAATCTGGCCAATACTACTGCAGTACAAACGGTTTATTTTAGATTGGTTGTAAGATTTCTTAAAAATTGGTTTATTGGAACAGATATGGCCATATCAAACAATGTTTAAATAAAGATAACTTAAATTGTAGCTGGTGTTTTGATAATGTAGCTCATTAACTGTGTGTACTATACACATACAAATAATTTGCTAGGGTTCATTTACTCTATGCTTCAAATACCTGGTTTATAAAGGTTGAAGTAAAAGCCAATGCAACTTTGAAATGAGGCTTTAATTGGGCTGAACCATGTCTTTGTCTGACACTCTGAAGGAAATTAAAACCCGCATCGACCTTTAAAGCTTATTAAAACTAAAAGGTATGAGTATAAAAACAAACTGCAATTAAAGCAAGAGAGCTTTTTGCTTTATAAATACAAATAAAATGGGGATATTTGTTGTAATATCCTGACTTTCCTAGCCACCATTAAGGCTTCATGTTTTGGGTTAATGTATAACTCAGTCAAGATTCTATTTTTATCACTTTATCACCTTTTATTGCAACATCAATTTATAATAAATACAAAAGTTGCCAAATTCTTATCTCCTCCATTCTTATTCTCCAACTAGCAGCCAGTGTTCGTTATGCTCTTCAACACAATTCAAAAATAAACTGACAATGTTTATTTCAAAGTACCAGTAACATTATTACACATTGCCTCCTAAATTCAGAGATATACTGTAGGGATATGTAATACCCTTGGTATTAAACAAAAAATGTGTAAAAAAACAACAACGCACATCTGGTGTGGGATGTGAAGACTGGTTATCGCTATGGAGACAATTCATCAAATCCCTTCAACAATGGCAGATGCTATGCAACAGAAAGAAAGCAAACTCCACCTGCTCCTGTCAAATACTGATGGATAGTAGTGTTGGTGGTTATTTAACAGTGTTGTTCTCGTTAGCCTTTAAGAAGTCGTATTTGTTTAACAGCACGATATGTACCACCTCTTGTCAACACTTCACCCTTTGATGCAACCTTGTGTGTTCCATTTGAAGTAATTGGTGTCAAAGCACTGAGGGAAAAAACACATCTAAGCTGCTGCTGACCTGATAAAAGACCTCTACGAGCATCACCTATGGCAACAATAAACACACAGATGGAAGCAACAGGCATCTTTCTCTGGGAGGTAATTGTCCTTAACACCCCTCACATTGTACTGTGCTCCGATACTCTCTGAAGGGATGACCACCAAGAGAGCAATACAGCGGTGCAGTGACGCATCCTAAAACCCGGAAGTGAGTTAGCATTTTACCACTACCGGTTCCCTCGTCTCAGAGTCAGCGGGATTTCTCCATAGGATTTTGGAAAATAGCTCGAAATAAGGTCTGTGGTTGACACACATTTAAGCGACGGTTCACGTTTTGTTCTACAACATTAAATACAAGAGCAGGGACCCCACTGGTGATTTTTGAAGAGTTTACGTGTCTGAAAAACGATGGTTGTTAACAAGTGGCTGAATAGGACTACAGAAGTTGTCGAGGCCGTTGCACGCCATTACACCGAACACGTAAACACTCCCGCTAAGTTTGTCTGCCCTGTTCTGCTTGAAAGCAAGTACCTGCGCTCTTGCCAACTGTTAAAACAAACACTTCAACTTGTACAATTTTGAATCTGTATTTTTGAATATCGATCTTAAGTTGGCGTGACGTTGAAGCAGCGACCCTGCTGTAGATTGTTTATAGCATAACGTTAGCATTTTGCGATTAGATTTATGATTATAAAATTATAAAAGTAGGGTAGACATGTGGATATTATCCGGCTGACCAAAACGTGCATTTAACAGATTTGTTTTCCACAGACCTTATCTCGAGCTATTTTCCAAAATCCTATGGAGAAGTCCCATTGCTTTTTTGTCGAGGGAACCCATGCGCAGCTTACTTCCGGGGTTTAGGACGCGTCACTGCACCACTCTATTACTGTGAGGGTTTAGTGCAGGAAAATGACCAATATTTGAATGTTTTGTCTGCAGGAGGGAGTACCTGAAGCACACGCTGGACGGAGGAGGAGTGCTCGCTCCTCCAGCTGACCTTTTGGAAAGCTGTCACTTGCTGGTGAATAAAACAGCGGGGTGACACCGAGGGGTTTAATCACGGACCGAGAACACCAGATGTAACAGTTACAGGGAATGTAGTCGCATTATCTGTGCGTGCACAATGCTGGTTGATGAAAAACTGAAATGCTACTACGCCACACTCCTTTCGCTCTGCTCTATCACAGTAAACACACAATCATCCATCGCTGTGCTCCAGTACTCCTACAGACACGCTTTTCCTCCCTCCCTCTTGTCACACAACATACAAAAACGAGAGCAGAGCCCACATAAGAAGAGCGGGTGGGAGTACATTATCTGGAGTGAGAAACAATTCGTTCTGGCCATCTCCTGCCTGTGCGCTAAAGTGATCGCCCTGAGTAGCAGCATATCAGCGGGCAGCAGCTAGTGAGTGGGCGGTGGGCATTACACAACCTGGCTTCAGAACCTACACAGGCCACTCCAAAGGCCGGCTCATTGAGCGAGAGAAATCCACGGCGATGCAGACGGTGCCAGATCATGTTTTGATTGAGACCGCGTGATAACAATACCCCGGGTTTTATTATGGCACTCTTTCGAGAGCATACATCCTGCAAAGGCAGAGGTGGGGCTTGCAATCTGTTATGAACATCAAAACTGGATTTGATGTTTAACAAGCTGCCATCGGCCCTACAGCAGCAACAATAAGTGACAATGACCGATTGAGAGTAAGAGCTCAACCAACTTTGACTGTGTTGGCGTAAACCACTGACTTCCTAAACCTTTACAGTGAAGCACCCCGTTGTAATAGCTTGTGTAGTGTATGTCTATGAGCTCTGGATTTCTTTGTTATTATTAGAGGCATGAGGAGGGGAAAAAAACAAAACATGGTTGAAATATATACATTAGCCCAACCGATATTGGATCTATGAAGTAGATATTGATCGTTGTTCAACAGTTGTGAAAATACTTTTACTATGGTACATTCTCCAAGAGACATTTTACTGACAACGCTATATCTGCAATAAGTTTTATCCACCTAGCAGTAAAATCCAACATATTTCTCATTGAAAGGCTGTTGCATAACGACCTATTTGAAAGGTCCAATGTAGTGATACAATTGCCATTGTTATCAAGGTCTTATCAACCTTTTTAAAGTGCACACAAGACTTTCCATATCAAGGTCTTAACATTTCCTAATATCTAATATGATGAAAGTAAACAGCTAAGGTTGAAAGCATTTCTGATTCTACAGGGCACCTCAATATCTCGTGAAAAAAAGCACTTTTTTCTGTTTGTTAGAGACAAACAGGGTCGAGCGGCCGCACTGCTAACAGGTGATGAACGGAGTAAAAGCTCGCTGTTGCCTGGCGATGTGGCTGTAGGAGCTTTATAGATGGGTGTGTGAAGGCCATGGTAGCAGCTTGTACTCAGTGGCCTAAGCCCAGCTTCGTCACACACACACACACACACCCCCTCCCTCCGCGAAAAAACCCCCACCTGCCATCTGGCCAAACCAGGAAGTGACTATGTGAATGTGAGAAGCGGAGAGAGGGAGAGAGACAGCCGACATGACATGGTGCTTTGCATCTATGATAAATATTGACTTACTAATTCGCTGAGCATGTGTCATGTCGGAATAGCAGGTGTGCTAACGTGGGGAGAGAAAGAAGCAGACCCCGAGCATGACGCAGAGGTAAAACATGGAGGGAAGAGAACGGAGAGAGACAAAGAAATGTTTATAGAGAGTGGTGTCCGCGTGCACGAGAGGGAAACACAGCAGGATCACGTGCACGCGCAGCAGAGAAATCCTCGCTGAAGAGGACACTGAGTGGGAGAGGGGTTGAGTCAGGGGTGTTGAGTGGGAGGGAAAGAAGCGCTTCAGTGCACACACACACAAACAAACACACAGCTCCACAGAACACTGTTTCTATGTAACACAACAAAGGATGGAGGTTTAATGCATGAAAGCATCGTTTGAGCTGTTCTGAAATATGAAATCAAGTAACGGAGCATCTCAGAATTTGAAAAAACGAAATCTTACCACAGCGGAAGGTCAGCGTTGGAGCATGTTTACACAAGAAACCATTCCGTTTAGGCTTAAGGCAGGAAAACGTGATATATTTACCCGTCCGATTAACTCCCTAGTTTAACAAAATACAAACTGATATATTAAAACTGTATGTGTATCTTATATAATAAACACAGGGTTTGCTCCAGCATAGGCAGGCTCTAAAACAGATCAGAGCTTATGTGTTTAATTTGTATAAATAGCCATGCAAATGAACTTATTAAGTGGTGTTTACTTTAAACTGAAAGATCAATACCATTCATTTTGAGTTAGTAATTAATTTCCTTGAATACACACTGACGTGCAGCTACGAGTGCCGAATTTCCTTTCAACCCACGGATTTGTGGTACTTTGTGATGCGCTTGAATCACTGAAAAATATTTGGAAATCTGGTTAAGCATAATAGCATTGTTCTTAGTTACTTGCATATGCACCTGCAAACGTGAAGTTGTCTTTTGATAGGCTTCACCCTCTTCAACAACCAGACAACATATTCTATTATCATAATGGCCTCAGTAAAAAGACCAAGACTTTTGTCTGAAAAGGGTCGTGCATTTATGAATTTAAGTATGCACGAGGTCTGCCAGATGTGAGCAGAGGCCTCTCCAGACTGGATTTGGAGAATGATCTCGTACTAGGAAACGATGGGTTGCCATAGATCCTTTGAGTAGGTCTGTGCTTCCGATTGTGACGACATCAAAGAAGCCTCATCAGAAAGTCTAATGAAGGAACCGGCCACTTGACCAGGAAGAAAGACAACAATAGATGCACTGGATCTGTGCATATGCATGAACGAGCCTGCTATTACTGACAGTATGCTCCTTCAGCGAGGACCACATGAAGAAGATGCTCAACTGTAAAAAATCCAAATGAAAAATAAATAAATATTGTGAGGAATAAAGTAGCCACAAACACACGACAGCAAAGGTTCATTTTGTAATAGTTAATAGGGAAAATAAAAAAATGAATGTAGTCATATTACCTTTTCCCAGGGTTAGCATCAAAGCTAAGTATTTAATAGCCTGTCAAACTGTTTTTTAATGCATGAAGCAGCCAACTGAGCGAGTCACTCAAGCTAGTTGGTTTTGGCTAATTGGATCAACTTAAGCTGTGTGTTTCCAAAAATAACAATTGTGTCTAGCCACAACATGCTCCACGTGTAACCTCCAGGCACAATGACTCACTTAAATAAGAAAAGGAAGTTTATATGATGTAACCGTGCAGTCCTCTGTAAAAGAAACCCAGAGGGTGTGTTTCAAATCAAACACATACACACGTCTCTGCAAGTTAGCATTAAAAGAGTTATTTTAGGATATTATATAATGCAATTTCATCATGATTCCTATTTGGGCTTTCTCATTTGCTTCTTCTACCATGTATGAATGCAAACACTAAAAGTAGATCATCATCGCTAATCAATTGTGTTCATTTAATCTTCAGATCTGTTAAACGGTCCCAAATGTTTTACTTTTTGAATAAAAAAAGACCTTGGAGCAAAAACAGTATATAGGTACAAAGTGTTGAGGTGGAAACAGAAATAAAATAATGATTGATAGCAATCTACCATACGAACCTGGATTATTATAGTGAACAATAATGACAACTAACTGTCTTTTACTAAAAAATACAGTCAAATATATTTAAAAAAAACAGTAGGCCCAATTGCCTGTAGAAAAACATAATTTTTAGAGAACAATTTTGAATATTTCTTTCATTGAAGAAAGCCAAGAAACCAATTCAGAACAAGGGAAAATAAAAATGTCAATGATGAATGATAAGAGATGAGGAAGGTTTAGATAGAAGGATGTATAACATTGCTGAATTGAATATACGGAGCATGTAAAAAGTCTCGTTGGTTTAATAAAGGGTAATTGTATATTATAATGTACTACACATTAAAGAAAATATTAAATTGAACCTGAAAAAGTGCTGTTCTCTGGTGATAAATTAAAATAACTTAATGTACTGACCTGTCACAGGGGCCTCGATGTCCAGCAGATTCTTCTCTGCGCGCAGGATGGTGGCCCCCTCCCCTATGAGCCTCAGGGCCACCGCCTCCTCCACGCGACCCTCCTTGGTTAGGTGCGCTTTCAGCACGTCCACTTTGGGCTTCCCATCGCTGTCAAACACCTCTTTAGCCGTCAGCCGGTGACTGGGGGGGAACGGGACAGCTGCAAGGGTTAAAAAAAATAAGGGTGATTAAGGCTGCTTTCAACACATATGTACTGGCTTATAAATACTTTCATTCACAACATGCTTAGGAGGATACACAGTTAACTCCACATCAATGAGCAAAAGGCATTTAAGCTGTCTGATTAGCAGGTAGGGGGGGAATAACTGTCCACTCCCCTGCTGCCAGCCCCCCCTCTGAGACAATTTACAGGATTGTTGCTATGATCTGTGAGACCATATTTAATATTGATAGACCGTTTCTAGCATGCTTGGCAGTATTCAAAAGCAAAAAAGATTTTTCTACAAAAGGCTTTTCATATGAGCCGAGTGTTTAATATGAAACCATTGCTATATTTAAACTAGTTTCATGTGTGTGAATATTAGAAGAGAGACGTCTTCCTCATGCATTTACACATTTGTCAGTCACAATTATTTAAAAGCGTGAAAACATGTTTACTTTGTAGAGTCTTGAAGGCACCGTGGAAATTAGACTAACCGAATCCCCAACAGATCAGTGTTACCGTCACTTTAATAAGAGGCTTTCAAAACCAAAAGCTTTTCACAGATATTCAATGTGCAACCGCAATTTTGGACAAAACAGATGAAGCCTGAATCCTGTTTGCATGCATTGTAATTTAAAGCAGTGAACTCTCCAATTCAATCACAAACAATGGACGGTGCACATTGGCTTTGCAAACAGCCCGATGAGCCTTTAGACGGACTTTAATGGAAGCTTGGTAACAAAAGAATAGAAACCCCACAATGTTATTCATTTAAGTGCACTTCATGTCACTGGCATTTCAGCAGCTGACATCGAGCAGGTAAAACATTTTTTAATTGAAACCATTATTTAATGTACTTTTTGCTTGAACAAAAGCCTTGTCTGTTAATATTTCCTTTTTTACAACCCCCCAATGAGCATATGACTTGCTGACAGCATAGGAAGAAAAAAATGAAATGCTCGAAGACCACATGGTGAGGCCTTTTCATTTGGCAGCTAACAAAATAAGACATACACTTCATTAACGTCCACTTGCAGACTTTGCACATACTATACGAGTGTGACTAATGCACTAAGCCGGTGCAAATGCTGCTGAGTCGGTAGCTGTGTGTGTGTGAGTGTTTGTGTTAACATCCATCCGTCCCAAAGGTGACATCAGAGGTAATCAGACCTGTGCTAAGTGACAGACGATATTTGGGACGATAAGTGCAGTATTTAAAGCTTTCTAACAGGTGTATGGTGAATTGCAGATTTACGGGATTTGCAGATGTGTACCCTGAATATGTCCAGCATTACTCAGCAGTCCTAATCACAAAGGAACGAGAGAAAGACAGATGATAACTCGCAACATATTACATTTTCTCAAATATAATGCTTAATCTACTTGATTAACATTTTAAAAAGCCAACCAATTAAATTGGATTCCAGTGTCTGATATCAGAAAATTCAACATTATGATGCTAGTAAAGTATTTTTCTTATATTCAAGACCAAAATGATCATAATAGGCTCCTAACACAAATGTTTTCAAACCAAATAAATATTTGATGTGCTTAAAACTAACTTTTAAAAACAATATGAGCCGAATGTCTCCGGTAGTTATCTGGGGCATTCAGAAATAGAGAGATAGAATTACCCACAGCCCCGGTTCGGCCTCCCATGAGCACCTGCTGTGCAACTCTAGGCCGGAGCATCAGAGCTCTGGCCCCTGAGACGCTGGACTCTTACAGTGTGAACATCCTGTGAGCTGTTCAGGGGCATTTTCCAGAAGAGAAAGACAAGCTAGGTCAAGAATATGCAACGTCATTCATATTCACTGGATGATTAAAGGCATTTTTATTAGCTCTGCCGAGGTGACTGGGTTTGTTTATCCGTCTGTCAAGAGTACAGATAAATTTAAAGCCAGATTTTAATGAAACTTAGTTGAAAAATGTAGCATGGGTCAAGGAAGTACCCGTTGAATTTAAAGGGTGTATGTTAAAAGTAATGTACTGTCGCATTTTCTCCTGTATTACGTGAATATGTAATATAGATTCTACTATATATATACGCAGACAAACACTGATATGAGTAGCATTCTTTAATCACATGATATAAAAGTCTGGGGTACACCATTCCCACCGCATTGTTGACTATAAAGCTTATACAGTACTTATCTGTGTTTATGTCTGACAGTGTAGCAAAAACAAAATGTTCCCGCCGGGAATCAATAAAGTTGAATCTTAATCTTTATCTTAAACGTCAGATAAGGGCAGAGGGTACGGTGCTTACAGAATTTCCTTTAGCCCCATATTGTTGACCAATTAAGCTTTAGTGCAATGACAGGTAATCTCCAAAGGCAGTGTACCACGGCCGGGCTCTTCCTGAATCTGAACTTCTTGAAACAAAAGCAAGTAATTTTTGATTGTGCAAAAAACATGTTGTGTCTGAGTGGAGAGCAAGCTGATAACAACATGGGGAAAGCCCATATCGAATGGCTGTAACTGTTATCTCCAACAGGCGTAAGCTTGTTGGGAGATAATGTGGTCTGTCTGTCTGTCTGTCTGTGTCTCCAGCTAATCTTGCCCACCATTTGAACCCATAAGCCAAACGTTTTCTGTGCCAATGTGTGGCTGTTTTGGTTCTCATAGTTGTGTAGATTCCCATTTTTTTGAATAAATCGATTAAATTGACCGTTTTATACCAACATTAACTGCTGACTCCTCGTCCTTTAGTAGCAAAACTCAAGCAATTAGGGAGGCTAAATTAAAACCTAAGGTCTCCTAAAATCTTTTGGCCTTTGTCGTGGCTCAAAAACATCCATAGAAAAGTTTGGTCTTATTATGAACCGCAGCTCAAATGGCATACCAGACATGTTATGATCCACTAGAGCTAGATGATACGAGATGAATACATCTTTGTTGTCGTTATCTTTGCTGGCCATTTTGACTTGAAGGGAGCCAACAGGGACAATTCAGCGATTCAACTCTTCTGAACCTGCAATATATGGAGTGACCTTTTCTGTTTAGATGTTATTTCAATAAAAAATTACAACTGTCACTAAAATGTTATCAGAATATCTCCACGGCTGTTCTCAATAAGAACCTCTACAGGTGCTGATGCTGCACAATGTCAGCCTTTAAAATGTGTTTATCCCAATTCTACAGATATGAACAGTGCAGCAATAGTGGCTGTACAGTAGATGTTGACCACATCTGCTCCCACTGAAGGGACAAAACACATCCTAACATTTCGAACACTAAAGAATAACATTATTCTTTAAAAGAAATAACCCATGTGAAAGCTGTGGTTGTTCAAGCACTGGCATCCTTTCAACACATCATCCCTCCATTTCCTTCGGTCATGACAATGGAAACACTGTGAACTTTCCCCTGTGGAATTTCTAACAGCCCTCTTATTAAAAGGAGCAACACCCACCTCTGCCAAAACATTACATGACACATTGTAATGGTAGGCTCCACGCTCTGAAGAAAAAGGCGTTACCTCATGACAAAAATTAAAATCCTGAGCTGAGAAAAGAGCTGTGTGGATAAAAGACTCAATTGGAGAAGAAAATCATCAAACTGTTGTTGTGTTCAGTTAATTAAACAAGAAAATGTATGGGGATGTCAAATATTGCGTTAAAAATGGGCCACATCTTTCGTTCGCATTGCATATTAACTGTTCAAATATGAGCTACTGCCAAAACATAAAACAAAATGGCAGAATTTCAACCCTCTTCCACACAGGAATTGTTGATTGTTGAGAATAATCCTTTCATGCAGAGCTTTATAGCTCTGGGAGCATTAACCGACCTCAGGCTACCCGAGTATGACTCAAAAATGGTCTCCATTAGTCGCTCGCTTTTGCCTTCATTAATTTTACCATTTCTCCATTCCCTTGTTATGTAACTGGGAAATTGCACTGCAGCTGACTGTTGAATGAGAGAGAAAATAACTGAGAGTGAGAGAGGGTCAGAGAGGAGGGAAAAAAACAAATCTGCAGTCTGATTTTACTTTCCCCGAGTAATTTGTCTCAGATTAGCATTCTAATGACCAAGATACAAATTAAAGCCATCCATCAGCCATTAGGTTTAGAGACTACTAGACCGCTAAACCTCTGAATGTCTGCAGGGCGTGTTAAATAAACTTGATCTAATAAACGGTACAATGTTATGTTGGTCAACAGGGTTTAAAGCAATCTTTAATGATTTCCTTCTTCAGTGGATTAGCACCGAGTCTTTAGAGCTGTAGATCATCAGCCCCAGCAGCCCCCTTTGTTCATGCAGCAACACTCATGAAATTTTTTTTATCTCAGAGTTTATCAGACTTTCAGGTGTGATTCCTGAGAAATCTGCAGCACGGGGCGCAGTGCGTCTGAAGCCGCTGAGAAGCAGTGGGGAAGAGGCCAGCTTGAAATGTTCAGGTTGGTGTAGTTCAGAGCTAATGCGTTCCCTCGGAGGAATGAGACAGCGGGAGGTGCGCAGTCATATGGTGCTGGACACATCAGCCTAATTGGAGAAAGTGAGATCGACTAATGCAGCAGCGCCTGGCTTCATTTAGTGAAGAACACAGAGTGCAACCGTGATTTTCAGCAGGCAGCCCAGATGTCTACAACTCCTATACATCGTCTTTTTTCTTGTCAGCTGTCTGAAAGATGTCTGTGCTAGACTTTGCATCATAAATACACGTACAAAACAGGCCTGTGTGCCCTTTATAGCATCGGAAATGGTTTATGATGTGAATTTATTGATATATTACAGCTTCACTCACACAATATGTTCAGTCAATCGATATATATATAATGAGAGCCACTACTGGCAACCATGGTGCTAGTTCATTTTCATCAACTGCACAGCTAAACCTTCAGCAAACACTGACTGAGGATCAAGACAGTCAGGAAGAGCTATTTGCTAATAACTGCCTCTGTATTATGCTGTCAAGAAAGACAGTTGAGTAAAAGTTTGATACCATGGTGTGAAAATATTCTACAAAAAGAAAGTCTTGCGTTGAAAATCTTA